ATAAGGCTGTTAACTTATTTGCTGGATGTTTAAGATTAAGTTTTAAAATTAAAGTTAAATTTAAAGGGACAAGAAAACCAATATTTGGCTCTTGCCCTCTAAGTCAGTCTGAATCAGGGAATAGGGGACTTCTCCGAAGAGCTTTGCAACTCTAGGCCACATAACCTCCCGATCAGGGAGATTAATGAGACCAGTGGAGGACAGAAAGCCAATCAGTGCATTTGCTGTGAAGAGGAGGGTCATCACAAAAGGGAGACATCCCTGATGCTTCCAAGGGAAGCCACATGGTCAAGCAAGGCCTGGACCCATCCTAGCGCAATGGCACTAGCAGAACTGAGAAGCTGCTGTGAAGTTCCCCGAGGACTCCCAGGGAAGCTCAGCTGACTGTTAACAATAGATAAAAACAAAAGTCAGTTTGACTTGCTTCATCTTAAACACTTAGCAAAGACAGTCAAAGCCAAAACACAGCTATCCCTGGGCATTTTAAATAATAATAATAGTTAAATGTAACTTCCAAAAATAAGTAAACTGGAGGCTACAAAAGAGATTCTCAGACAGGAATGCTTGATATCTATCAAAAGGAACTGCCAGAGTAGTTTTTAGTTTAAGGCCTTTATTTCTACCCTACACAGGTAGGCTTAGTGTTTGCAAGTATGGTTATCCAGCCCTAAGTAACAGAATTAAAGATTTCTCTATTAGACACAGAGGTCATACTAGTAAAAGGATTTTGCAAGATCAGATGACATTAAATTATTAAACTATATCTTAAGGGAAAGGACATCTGTAACCCTAAAAGTTAAATGTTGTGTTTACAACCCTGACATTTCTGGCAATGTGACAAATATCCTTAAAGATTTACATGCTCAGATAGAAGCCATGTCCTCAGCAACTTTGTCATGGAAACAATATCTTATCTCCTAGTTCTTGGTACTTCCTGGTGGAAAACATTGTTAGTCTTTGTCTTTGCCATCATACTCATTGGCATATTCCTGTGCTATGGCATTTACTGCTGCATCAATATGGTTCCAGTACTAATGAATTCTTGTTTCTCTTAGACCATCCATCACTCAAATGGCCCTCCAGACTATTACTTCTCAATCAGACTTCTATCATGGACCACTCAATAGACCTGATTTTTAAAGGGGGACTCCAAACTGCTTGCCCCACATCGTCCCTTTTCAGCCTGAAGAAGCCAGAGAGATTCTCTTCGCCCCCCCCCCTTCCTTACAGCAGTAAGGAGTTCCCAAATTAGAGGGGGGAATGAAGCCAGATTTAAAGTTAGGTAGTCAGTGTAGTTAGATAAATCGGGTCTAATGCTGAGTGAAATCTAAAATGGAGGCCATGCTGGCAATGATTCCAGGAAACGCAGGACAACTCATGGAATGTTATTGGGTCCCCTTCTTCCTCCGGGAGAAGTCTTTTCTGCTGTCCTTTAATAAACTTCTAATTTCTACTCTGAAAAAAAAAAAAAAAAAATTGGGCTGCATTGAGTTTTAAGAGTTCTTTACATATTGTGGATACAAGTTCTTTACCAGGTATTGTGACTTGCTAATATTTCCTCCCTCTCAGTGACTTGTCTTCTCATTCTCTGTCTTTGAAGGAAAAATAGTTAATTTTTATGAAACCCAATTCATAATTTTCTGTCTTTTATGAATTGAGCTTCTGGTGTCATATCTTAGAAATCTTTCCCTACCTCAAGATCAAAAAGAACTAACATTTAACATAACGGGGCTTCCAATCCTTGAACATAACCTATCTCCTTATTTCTTTTGGTCTCATTTAATTTCTTGGCTTCATTTTGCTAGAACTGTATTAAGAACTTTGTACTTATGTTCATTGATATGCATGTTCTTTTCTTGTATCCTCTTCAATTTTGGCTTTAGAATAATGCTGGTCTAATAAAGTGGGTAGAATTTCTACCTCTTAAATTTTCTAGGAGAATTTCTGTAGAATCCATGTTATTCCTTCTCTAAATGTTAGGTACTATATATTTTTGCATTTTGACAGATTTGTTTTGGGGTATAATTAGGTTACTTGAAAATAATTTGGTTGGGGAGGTCTAGCTTTTAAGTTTCTTGGGCAGAAACAGAAAGGCCAATATTGCTTCACTATTAAGGAAAAACTCTTGAGTCCTCTGCTGATGATTTGGGGGTTACAGGGATTATCTACCTAGATGACGGGAATAGACATTATTCCTGATTCTCCTTGCATTGCAGAGCTTGTTTTTCTAATCCTGGTTCTTTCCCCTCCTCAGGTAGCTAGCGAGCTTCCTCACACCATAGCGCTAACTACCACTCAGCTGAAAAAATTGAGAGTAACAATGCTGTTCTACAAAGGGGACCTTCTATATATGTCTGAAATTCTCTCTTGTGAAGTTTCCTCTGCTCCAACGCTCTGCTGTATGACCTCTGCCACTTTGGGCTCCCCATTCTCCCAACCCCATCTCAGCTCAGAGAGACAGCCAGGTCTGCCTGGGTTTCCCCTCCCCTAGCACAGCCCAGGAATTCTTTCCAAATAGTAAGATGTGACAATTGTAGGGCTCATTTCATTTGTTTTCCATCTTCTCAGGAATCACTATTTGCTGTTACATGTTATTAATGCCCTAGGAATTATTGTTTCATGTTTTCTGTCCAATTTTTAGATGTTTCAGGTGGGACTTCTCCAGCAGGTATCACTATCAAGGCGGTCTGTGTGTGTGTGTGTGTGTGTGTGTGTGTGTGTGTCCATGTTAGTCAAAGTTGAAATCATTGATAACATTCTAATGGATGAATAATCTGAGGATATAGCAAAAACTTGGGGTATAAGTAACGACTCAGAACAAAGGACTTCTCTCATTTGTCTTCTACATTATTGCTATATTTTTCCATGACTTTTCCTTCACTGGTGGTTTTAATATTTCTGTTCATATATAATTTTATTATAATCCTCCCCTATCTCACTATCCCAGTTTTTATCTCATCCAGTTGTAGTTCCATCTCTACTTGCTCACCCCTGAGGCTTTCCACTCTAGTTTCATAAAGGTTGTATCTCTCTATACCTATTGAGGGTCCTGTCCAGTAGGAAATTATGTTCAAAGATCTGATCCCCTGAGACTTCAGAATGAAACATCCTTTCCTTATTTTGTAGCTGTTACAAGCTCCATCTTGGTCTCTTCCTGGAGTTCTTTATAGCACACAGAGTGCATCTGTCTCCCCTACTATGCCTTTGACTCCCTTCAGACTCACAGTCTAAGCCCCAAGTCCTGGTAGGCTTCCATCTAACACAGCTCTTCTGGCCTGAGATGGAACGTTGACCCCCATTGCTTGGCTCTTTGGTTCTCTGAATGAAGACAGTACAGGCCACATGGACATCTCCCACAGGTATCACTATCAAGGTGATCTCTCTCTCTCTCTTTCTGTGTGTGTGTGTGTGTGCATGCCTGTGTGCATCTTCAGCACTCATTACTTGCTAAAGTTGTATTTTTTGGTGGTTTTACGACACACAACATGTATTTCCCACTGCCAGTCTTCTTTTTCTTCCCTGGTTAATTGTTTTCTGGGATCTGTACGTCCTGCTGGGTATAAAGTGAATCATTTCTGATGGGTATCATTTCTGAAAGGCTGAGGAACAAGAGAAGACACTCAAGGTACCTCAAAAAGTAGAATTCACGTTGGATGAAGTGACACATGCCTGTAATCCCAGCGACTGGGAGGCTGAGCCAAGAGATCACAAGTTGGAGGCCATCCTCAGCAACTTATCAAGCCCCTGTCTCAAAATAAAAAGGGACTGGAGATGTAGTTCAGTGGTAAAGTGCCCCTGGGTTCAATTCCTAGTACCCTCCCCCAAAAAAGTAAAAAAAAAAAAAAAGAATTAACACAGTAAAATATAGCTGCTTGATTTTCTTATTAGTATTAGATCTTTTATTTCTGAACTAGAACACAGTATGGAGGAAACAAAGAATTCTAAGAGGAAAAATTTTAGAGGGAAAACTTACTGTATTCTTGGGTTACAATAAGTGTATTAGTCAGTTTTCCATTGCTGTGACAAAAATACCTGAGAAGAAAAACAAAAGAGGAAAGATTTATTTTGATCCACAGTTTCAGAGGTTTCAATCCATAGTTGCCTGGCCCTGTTGCTTTTGGGCCCATGGTGAGGTGGAACATCATCTCAGAGAAGAACTGGAACAGATGGCCTCACCTCCTTGAAGTGAGAAGTGAGGTTGGTGGATGAAATATAGTCCCCAAGGCATGACTCCCAAGGACTCACTCCTTGCAAAGAGGCTCCACCTCTTCCAGTTTCTGCCACCTTCCTTTCAATTATGAACCCACCAGTAGACTGACTAGTCCACTGATGGGATTAGAGCCTTCATGACCCAGTCACTGCCCCAAAGCCCCACCTGTTGACATTGCTGCATTGTGGACCAAGTCCTCAACACACGAGCCTTTGGGAGACATTCTAGATCCAAACTAACAATAAGTCACTTTCTACATTTTCTTTATTCAACTGATTAGGCTTGCAATTAGTCAGAGTTCTTCCTAGTTTCTGGAAATTATTCAATTGTCAGTTCTACCGTTCTCTATTGAGTATTCATCTCTTTGTCTTTAAATGAGTTTAAGAATAAAAGTATGAGTCTATTGGTGACTACTGATGACTTTCCATCTTGAAATGCCAAAATTATTTCTACAAGTTGAGTGTGTTCCCAAAAAGTAAACTAAATTACACTCACTTATAGACTATTAATATTATCAAGAGTCACTGTCATCTTTTCTGAAGATTTACCAAGAATAGATGGATTTCTTACGAGGAAATAAACTCTTAAAAGGGTCAGAGTAAAGTCCAGAGAGTATGACCTCCACTAACTGGATCTCTAGGACCACTGATTTGATCATGTTTATGTAACTCAAGCTTTTGAAGACACCAATATTAAATTCTCAACCTCTACCATGAAGAGACTGGGGAAACAAAGAGGGTTAGTACTAAATAGAAAGTGTCCTTGAATGCTCTCCTTTTTCCCATTGCAGACTTGAAAACGGTGGAGAAGCAAGCACCATCTAAAAACCAAGTGGCTGCAACCCCCCTGGGAGCACCAGCTGCTCCATCTTCAAGCCCAGAGTCCCCCGTAGTGTACCTGAAGGATGTGGTGTGTTACCTCTCCCTGCTGGAGACAGGGAGACCTCAAGATAAACTAGAGTGTAAGTATTCACCCTCTCAAGGGGGCTTTGGTTATTTCCTAGAGGAGGATCTGGGATCCTGTCAATCATTCTTTAACACACTGAAGATTGATCTAGGCTCATGGATATGGGTCCTACCTCTTTGGGGGAGGTTCCTCTGTCCTACTGCCAGCAGGGATAGGAACATTTCCTAAAACCCACCCTAAGACACAGTGTCACTTATATATAGGGTAGGAAGGGCATCTAAGTCGTTGGCTGTGAGAACAGAATTTGGAAAGGGGAGAAGGGCTCATCCAGGGGTCAAGACTCCTTTGCTTGGCTGCCAGGGCTTTCTGAAAGCCTCTAACTCAAAAGCTGCTGCCTCCTCTGATGGATTTTTCAAGGAAAAATCTTCAATATCTGACCTCCTTTCCTCCCCTAATTCATAAATAAGCCACTCTTTAACCATGAGGAATTTTTCCCCTCTCCCTTGGGCTCTAGAATCGACCTCTGTCATGGTAAGGTTTATTTCCATTTCTCCCCCACTCTCTACCCACAAGCTCTTTGGTCTCTGGAGAAAGGGGATTAATTAATTGGAATTGAACTTGATTTCATGGTGCTACAAAGATGGTTTCAAAAACAGATATTCACAAAGAGAGTAAGAGCTGGGGCAGAGAGAGCCTGCAGATTGAAGAGGACTCGGCCCAGGAGTTGTTTCACTGGCCTCTGGAGCCTGCGGGCATGCTTTTTAGATCGGGGGATGATGGGACCTTGTTAAAAAGTACCTATTGTCTTTGCTTCTCTTGGGACCTTAAGTAGACAGGAAGGAAAAAACATATACTTTATGGCAAATGTCGAAATTCCATTTAGTAATGAGACTAGCCAACCAAACTTAAACATTAGCACAGGAAGTCTGCCAAAGGTTAACCCTGCCAAAAACAAAATGAAACAGTTTGCTCATTAGCCCAGCTTAAAATCTCCCCCATAGGTTTGAGGTGTTAACAATTGCAAGTCTTAAGTGCTAATTTGGTAGCAAATGTAGCAGATTTCTGTTTTCTGCTGGCTAATGTTAAAAGTGAAATGTCAAATTATTTTCAACATTGAGCTGGATTTTGAGTTTTAGGCATTATGTTTATTAATAACCAAAGTAAATGTAGCAAATTCTTCATATTAGTAACTCTCAGTCTGAGTCTTGAAATGGCAATGTAAAGAAACTTCAAAGTTTCTATTATAAAAAATATTTTTTAAAAATATTTATTTTTTTAGTTGCAGTGGACACAATACCTTTATTTTATTTATTTATTTTTATGTGGTGCTGAGGATCAAACTCAGGGCCTTGCACATGCTAGATGAGTGTTCTACTGCTGAGCCACAACCCCAGCCCTATTATAAAAAATCTTGAAGATAGATATAGGTAAAGAGTAGTGAACACACACATAGGTCTTACTGAGCTCCAACAAGGATCAACTTCCAGTCGTTCTTGTTTTGTTAATACCTCCCAACCTTTCCCTTTGCTTCAAATTATTTCCAAGCAAATTTCTGGAATCATACAATTTCATCTGTAAATATTTCAGCATGTGCCTCTAAAATCAATGGTTCCTTCTTAAATAGAACCACATCACTATTATCACATCTAAAGACAATGATTCCTTGCTATTGTCAAGTATTCAGCCAGGATTCACATTTTCTGAATTATGTATGTATTTTTAATTGTTTCTTTGAATCCAAATCTAAAGAAAGTCCGTATGTTGCCATTGGTTATTATGTCTCTTTCTTCTCTTTTAATTCCTTGTTTCCCTCTCCATTTTGCCAATTTTTTTTCCTTGCAAATTTGGGTTATAGTAATTTGGCCACATATTCTGTAGAGTTTTTTTATTTTCATTTTTAATTTGAGGACATCAGTTCAAATCTTTCCCTAATTTTAGTGACTGAAAACAAGCTTTCTTTTAAAAAACCAAGCATGTGCCTTTTGGGAAGTAATAATCTGAAATCTCAACTATTGCCAATACAGTAATACTCTCATCCCTAAACACCTTATATTTGCTACTTAGTTTAAGTGCATTTTGTCATTTTCATCTCACAGAAACCCTAGAAGGTTGATAGGATTATTCTTGCTTTACATGTAAGCACAGGAAGGTTGAAAGACTTGCCCGATGGCCCATCACTGAAGGTGGGGCTGTTCCCTCAGCTCCTTCTAGTTCTATGGTTCATACCCAGTAGGACCCTAAAGAGGTGTTTGTTAGACAGTCACCTGGGCCCAGAGTCCAGCACAAGGTTAATGGGAAGCTCCATCCTTCTTCTGGAATTCGACCATCTGCTCAGGGAGTAAGCAGCATGCACTGCATGCCCCTGACCAGGACATTCTGACCAGGACAGAGGAGTCACAAAGAATCAGAAGCCCATGGTTCTACTTTCAAAGAACCTAGACTCCATCAGGTACACACCACCGAAAAAAAAGACAAAATGCAGGGACCTACTAAAACATCTAGAGGGCAACTCGGTGTGACCAGCACATATGAAGGGGTTATCTGAGAGCAGGGTCACCTGGGGGAGGTTCCACAGAGGAAGCAGGCATGATGAGGAGCTTAAAGAACAAGAGGAAGAAGAAAAACTGTTTAGCCCTGCTTACTTCAGAGGCACAGGGAGCCCATCTCTGTCCTTTGGGTGAATAAAATATAGGTTTCCAGGTTCTATAAGTGAACTTTTAGTCTTTAATTCAAATTTCCTTCCCAGATTTTCACATATATATGTAGACACAATACCTTTATTTGATTTTTTTCTATTTTTAATGTGGTACCGGAGATTAAACCCAGTACCTCAGGCATACTAGGCAAGCACTGTATCACTGAGCCACAACCCCAGCCCCCCAGATTTTCTTTATATACATCACCTCCCTACAGCTGGAACATAACTGAAGACATATGTTCCCAAATAATACCTTGACATTCAAAAACAAAACAGACATTCAGGTTGAGCATTCCTAACCTGAAAATCCAAAATCTAAGATGCTCCAACATCCAAAACATTTTGAGTCTCAATATTATGTTACAAGAGGAAAATTCCACACCTGGCCTCAGATGATAGGTCACAGTCAAAACACAAGTACACAAAAAAATTATATAACATTACTTTCAGGTGATGTATCATGAAATATGAATGAATTTTGTGTTTAAATTTGGGTTCTTTTCACAAAATATTTCGTTGTTAGTATACACATATTGTAATTAAAAAAAATCCCAAACCCAAACTTTTCTTGTCCCAAGCATGTCAGATAAGGAATCCTCAACCTTAAATAGCTTCTGGAGTAATATTTACCTTTTAAGATTGTTTCTGAGGATTAAGTAATAATGATAAAGTACATGTAACAGTACCTGGTTCATATTAAATGCAATATATAAATGTTCATTAATAAAATAAATAGCGCCCATTGAGCACATTCTAAGCACTGTCAATATGGTATATCAATTATATTCTAATCCTCAAAATAACTCTAGGAGGAAGAAATTACTATAATTCACATCTTACAAATAAGGAGACTGAGCCCAAAGATGTGATAACTGATTTGAAACTCCGGAAGTGGTGGGACACACCAGCATTTAAATCTTCTTAATTCTACATTCTTTTTAAGTACAGTGGAAACAAAGGCCATCTATAATTCTGATACCTCTGCCCCACAACCAGCTGGGCATCTGCTTTGAGTGGGTTCCAGTGATGCCGAGGGTGTGCATGCCCTTCAGAGGTCACATTTTGACCTGTATCTCATCAGCCACAGAGTTACTGCCCAGGCAGATCCAAACCCAAGTAGCTTGTTTCTCCTTCCTCATCTCCCCTATGTAAGAGAGCCAGACTGTGCACTTTGGAGGGTGGGTGAACTGACTACAACAGCTTCATCCAGTGATGGCCAGCCAGAACTGACCCAAAAAACTTGGTAGCACCAAAACCTCAGCCCATCCCAAGTTCCTGGAGGACACTTCAAGCCTGACCTCTGTGTTTCTTGCAGTCATGTTTCGTCTCTATGACTCAGATGAGAACGGACTCCTGGACCAAGTGGTAAGCTCTCACTCCAAATATCCCTGCTGGATCTGAGAAAGGGTGGGGTATCGGGGAGCAGGTGGAGGAAGAATCTGAAAATTCTCCATTCCATCTTTACGGGAATTACAGTGTCTTAATAATGGCGGCAGAAATCTGAGCAGAACCCCTGCCTTTTACTTCCAAAGAGCCAGCCTCGCAGAGGGTGAAGCCCAATTTATCTTTTCATTGCAGAAGCTTGGGATCGTAAAATCTCGGACTGCAGAGATGTTTTAGTATTTCATCTAATCTAACTTCTCCATTCACAAATTCCCCCTGAAATTTTCTGCAGCCAAGAGGAGCAGGCCAGTGAGGCAACAAGCCCAGGGCAAGAAGGAGAGGAAAGGAGGTGACCACTGGTGTGCTTTGCTGTCACCCTTGCTTTCCTCTCATTCCCCAGTGCTGAGAGCCTGGTTCTGCCTGCTCTGAGCACTTGATCCCATCCCACTGCACCTGAGAAAGGTTGTGACTCACCTCGCCCCTTCAGCAAGTGTCAGGGACAGCTCAGAGACCATAAAGTAAGAGAAAGAATAGAAAAGGAAGAAGGTAGAAAAGGAAGGAGGTTCACGACATCAGATAGACCCTATGGCCATGACTGACACCTCGAATCAGGGCCCAGTAATGGGAAGGCTGTGAGGTTGAAATGCAAGGGGCCGAGTCAGACCAGAGACAGGATGGAAGAGAACAAGTCCACCCGACCAACAGAATTATCTCCACTCCCTTGAAACCCAGGTGCCTGTGTGGGACTCCTCCAGCCACATGGCAGTGTTGTGGGTTGAGGCATTTGAGGGAACAACCAGACAGCTCCAGACTAGCAAGCATTTGGTCACTGAGTGTCCCGGATGTCAGGCAGTATTCTAAGCACTGGAGATACATCAATGTCTCTAACGGACAAAATTTCATCTCCTCGGGCAGCTTTCAGTCGGGTGCAAGCATTGACATTAAACAGCATAGGAAGGATCTGTGCTAAGAAAAAAAATAAAGGCAGGAGAGGAAGCTGATGGAGGGAGTTGCACCTTTGGCTAAGGTTGTCAAGGGGCCTTCCTGGGGAGGAGGTTCTGAACAGAGAATAGAGGAGGTGAGGGAGTCAGTCATGAGGCCATCTAGGTGGGGAGCCTCCAGGCAGAGGGGACAGCCAGCGCAAAAGTCCTGAGAGGTGCTTGGGTGTTAGAGGACTCACTGGAGGCCTGTGTGACTGGACCAGAGTGAGTGAACAGATGAGTCAGAGTAAGGAAGTAATAGAAGATAGGATCAGAGAAGATATGCAATGGTGCTGGGGGGACTTTACCAAGTGTATCAGGCTTTCTGGGTGATTAGAGGGTGTATCTTTTATTCTGGAGAAATGAAAAACCATTGAGGAGTTTGAGCAGAGTGACATGATTGACTTCTATTTTAGCAGGCTTGCTTGAGCTATTGTGTTGAGTATAGACTGTAGGGGTTGCAAGCAAGGGTACCAGTTAGGAGGTGATGAAAATAATTAAGGCATGAAATCATGGCAACGGTGCACGGAGTGGAAGCACTGTCAGTGGTCAAGAGTGGTTCAATTCCTAATGTATTATTTTCTCCTCCCCTGTCCCCAGTACCAGGGATTGAACTAGGAGCACTTTACCACTAAGCCACATCCCAGCCCTTTTTATTTTGAGAGAGGTTCTCACTAGATTGATTAGGGCCTCGCTGAATTGCTGAGACTGGCCTAGAACTTATGATCCTCCTGCCTCAACCTTCTGAGTCACTGGGATTATAGGTGTGCACCACCACGCCCAGCCCGGATATATTTTCCAGGTGACATTTGTGGACTGAAACAAGTCTGAAAAGAATTGTCATGTTGAACTTCCCACCTTGAATCCCTGGCCAGTGGACTTCCATCTTCTTTTTGAACCATCCCAATGATGGGACTCAAGACGGCCTTTCACTGCTGGGGTGACTGTTAGAGCTACCTTCCTACACTCAAGGCATCTGTCTCTCTGTCTCTCTGCTAGGACAATATTCAACACAAAACCTGATGCTCTTCACACTTCCCCAGCCCAACAGGGAGGCCAAAGTATAGTCTGACCCTGGAGTTCTTCCTTTTCTCCATCCTTCAGCTTCCCTCTACCCTCTGTAGCTGACCAAGACAAGTGGAAATCAGTTCCATACAACAGGCCTTTGAAGTGCTGTCACATCTCCCCAACATCTCCTCCAAGCTAAGAGTGTCCCTGTTCATGCATCGTTTCTCATGAGGCAGTTGTAAACGCCTGCCCCGCACAAGCTCCAGTTTGTCAGTGCCATTCTTAAAATATGACACACAACAGACTCCACCACTCCATGATCCTTTATCCAACTGTGGCCTGACCAGGGTAGGCATTGGAGAACCAGTTCTTCCCGAAATCCACCCACTCTCTTATTTACACAGCCCACAACTGGATCTATTCCTCACTTTCTGAATCATATTTTCTCACTGAATCTTGGACCCGAGTAGATTCACAAGTTATTTTCCTTTGGAACTTCTGCCAATCCCTGACCTCACCTTTATGCCCACTTCCTTGCCTTTACCTAGTGCCCTATCCTGTAGTTTTCCTATAGATCACTCTTTTAATTTAAGTGAAATGTAATTTTTAAATTTCTAATGGGGTTTAGCTTGCTTGTTTTGATCTGACGTTCAACCTGATAGAGGTAATACTTTTCAACCTCGCTTGAGTCCACCCACACATCCCCCTAGAACAATCATACTACAAACATCTTAGATGGTGCCCACGCATAAGATGCTAACTTTTAACACCAAATAATTTCTCAGTCTGATATGTTCCAGTGGGGCTTTCTGTACACTGACTCATTAGCACTCAACAAATCTTTTAGATGAAGTATGGCCTTGGTACCAAAAAGCTTACTTACCAGGCAAACATATCCCTCAATAACTTCCTATTTATAGAGTCCTGGGTTCAGGGCTGGACCATGATGCAAAGGAATAATCTAAATTTCAGTTCATAGTAATCGAATGAAACTGACCCCTGAGAGAGGGGAGATGGATCCCAAGTTGCTAATGATAAGGTGTGACAACCTCTTGGTTTGTATTTGTAGGAGAAAGCAGGTGGACTCTCTATGCCTTTCTAGTTAAAGGACAAGGGAAGGAAGGTGGCCTAGGAGAAGTCAGTGCTGAGAGCGCTTTCTGCATACCATGTCCTGTGCTTCTTGTAAGCATCTATTGGCTCTGTGGTCAAGGCAGAAACAAACAATAAGCTCCTCATGAAATACCAGTTTCTGGGCTGGAGATGTAGGTCAGTGGTAGGTACTTGCCTAGCACGCATGAGGCCCTGGGTTCAATCCCCAGCACTACAATCAATCAGTCATGTATCATGCCCTCTTAGATGGTGATTGGAAGTGTATATTGGAACAACTTTTGAAAAAGAAAAGAAACACTGGTTTCTTCTCATACTCTGTCCTGCCCATCTTCCCACTCGACTCACTTTTGAGTTTTGCTCTTAATAACACCTCTTTGGGATCTCCCTTTCATATTTTCTCCCCTGATTTTTTCTAGGAGATGGATCGCATTGTCAACCAAATGCTGCATATTGCCCAGTATCTGGAGTGGGATCCCACGGAGCTAAGGCCTGTGAGTTTCTGTAAGCAGGGGGTGACTTTGGAGTGAGCTTTCAAAATAAGAGTGGGACCTACTCAGGACATGGGTGCCAATGTTGGCTGTGCAGGTGCTCCCTTACTGACAGCTTCTTTGGGGTCCTATGCTGTGACCTGCTGCTTCTCTGATAAGAAAAATGTTGGTGGCAGCAGAAAAAGTGTAGAAATAAAAGAAATAATAACTTCCTCTAACCTTTCCACCAGAGCTAAAGTCTTATATAGCAAGAATTCATAGATCAGAGAATTTGAGCCAGAAATAATTTTAGAGATTTTTCTCAATTACCAGGTAATATTAATAACAACAATTAACTCCATGTGAGGGTTTCTTATGGACCAGGAATTATATTAGATGCCTTGTACATATTTTCTCTAATCCTTCCTACACTGCTGCAATGATAGTGTTATTTCCATTTTGCAGATGAGCAAACCTGAACCCAAAGAGGTGGGTGATGTGCCCAAGGCCATACCTTCAGGTCAAGACAGAATCAGACCTAGGACCCTGGTCCCCTCACTTCTAGTCTTGTCCCTCATTGCTCTACTCATTTTGAATAAGAGGGGAAAGGGGTAAAACAGAAAATGGGTGATGCAGGATGAAAGAGAAAGCAGTGGCCAGAGGGAGGTAGAAAAATCAAGGATGAAAATGGACATGTTTGTCACTTCTCTGGATTCCACAGATATTGAAGGAGATGTTGCAAGGGATGGACTACGACCGGGACGGCTTTGTGTCTCTACAGGAGTGGGTCCACGGAGGGATGACCACTATCCCACTGCTGGTCCTCTTGGGAATGGATGACTATGTAAGTCGATAAGCTGGAGTTCAAAGATCCTTGCCATCTTGGAACATTGGAATCCATATTAATATATATGATTTCTAAGCCAGACTTCCCAGTGGGCTTGTCACACCCTCGGATTGGCTCAAAAGTCCTTTCTATTCTCAGTTCTTTACCTATCTTCATGCCCCAAATATATTCATCCTTCAGGAAACATTTGCTAAGTTGTTAATAAATTTAAAACATTGTTCTGCATGCTGTGAGGGCACAGAGACAATATTTGCCTGCAAAAAGCTTATGCTCAACCAGGAAAAGAAGAAGAGAAACTTTAAGAAAGATGCCAGGTGCTGTGGTACATACCTGTAGTCCCAGCAGCTTAGGAGGCTGAGACAGGAGGATCATGAGTTCAAGGTCAGCCCCAGCAACTTAGCAAGGCCCTGAGCAACTCAGTGAGACTCTGTCTCTAAATATACTATAAAAAAGCGTTTGAGATGTGGCTTTGTGTTGAGTGCCCTGGGTTCAACCTCTTGTACCAAGCAAACAAAACCTCAGGGAAGATTCCCATCTTTTCAACAAATTTTATTTTTAAATGGTAATAATTAGAGAAGGATAGAAGAAAGGAGGAGAAAAGGGAAGGAGGGAAAGAGGAAAAAGAATGATGATCTGCTACAGGGTGGCTTTCATGAATGGTCTCTTATTTAACAGAACATCCAGATAAGGTAGGTATTTTTATCCCAATTTGTGTAGATGGGAAACTGAGGTTCTGATCCTAAGAAGCAAAGGAAGAACCAGGATTTGTAACAGACTCCAGAGACCCTGCACTTTCCAATTCCCCACACATAAGTGTAAAAACAATAGGAAGAAACTGGGGGTGGGGGAGTGTTGACCAAGAAGAATGTGTGAGATTTTGAAAACACATTCTTGAGAGTAATGATCAGGTGGAAGGACCTAGGAGGAGGTTTGTTCTGGCTGTCAAGATTGGGTATGATTAGGCTGGTAGAAGATGGTAGAAGAGAAAGCTTATGCAGGCAGAACAACTTGATCAAAGATTCAAATGGAAGAAAAGTCAGGGAAATCTCCCAGTTGGATCATAGGAGGGGATTCGTGTAATGGCTTAATGTGAAATCAGTGGTTATAATAGCCTGCATCTGACCCAGTGGGTTACTACATTTTTTTGCTTATTTACCAAGTACACTAACTTCCATACCTGAGGGAGGAAAATTACCCTGCAGAAGGGTAAATGGTGACATTAAGGATTTACCAGAACAGTCATACAGGTTGTGTGACCACTCCTTTGAGATTTCCGAAGTGTCATAGAGAGAAAATAGAAAGTGAAGTTGGGTTAGCCTCAAGCTGACTATCATGGCCCATAACTCCATCCCACAGGCCTGCAACTCAGGACTAGAGTGGAGCCTTTATTTCCAAAGCTCAGGAGCTAAGAGTCCTGCCCTGTTTTGCAGCATGTCCAGTTCTTCCCAAGTGCTAAGTGGTGATCAAGGAACCAGGATCTACACAACTCCTTTCTTAATTCTTAGAGCCCTAGAGGCAGAAAAGACCTTGTCATTCCTGGTTTGTCCCTTCCATTTTAGAAACTAAGGTCTAGAGAGGTAAAGGACTCACCCAAGAGCACATACCAGGTCTGCACCAGAGGCCACCTGCCACATTCTGTAACATCAGACCCCTCATGAAACAGTATGTACAAAAACCCACGTGAGCCAGGAACTGGGTGCTCAAATGAGTAAGCTTTCTTCTATCAATACTTCCATCAAAATGGAAGTTCTGCCTGGGTGCTGTCCCAATGCCATTGTTTGGTTTTCCTCATTTGGGAAATGGAGATAGAACATTTTCATCACAATGAACCCATTTCTGTTTTTTTGCCCTGTTTGGACTTGGTGAGGTTCAAAATACCACCATCTCTGCATGAGAGCAGTCACTATTTTCTGGCTAGAGGAGAGAGAACCTGACTATTTCTTCAACATTCTTCCAAATGCTAAATCAGCCTTATTTTGATATAAATTATATCAGCAAAAATGGCAAGTGAAAGTAAAAAGCAAATTTGATTTTTGTTAATCAAAAGCTTTTATGCTTTCTTTTTTTTTTTTTTTTTTTTTTTTTTTTTTGGTACAGGGGATTGAACTCAGGGACACTCAACCACTGAACCACATCCCCAGCCCTATTTTGTGTTTTATTTAGAGACAGGGTCTCACTGAATTGCTTAGCACCTCACCATTGCTGAGGCTGACTTTGAACTCACAATCCTCCTATATCAGCCTCCAAAGCTACTGGGATTACAGGTGTGAGCCACCTCGCCTGGCCTGCATTCATTTTTAAATATATACTTTAAATAAAACATTTTTAAGGCAATGACTACATCTTTTTCCTTTTACCTTTATTTTGCTTATTTCTTTTTATGTGGTGCTGAGGATTGAACCAGGCCTAGCACTTGCTAGGCAAGTGCTCTACCACGGAGCCCACAGCCCCAGTCCCTTAAGTAAATTTTTAACATGCATCAATGTCTTTAATGTCCTATTGCTTGTTTGGCCTCCTCCAATCCCACAGATGATCACTGAGGAGTCTGGGCATCTGTGAACAGGACATATGTAAAACAGTCTCTCTCTCTCTCTGGGTGAAATTGTAGCAGTGGCATAAAACATGGAGGCTACTGCCACATTCTGCAGCCTCCCATGTGCAGAAATGAAAAAACCACATGATGGTGCTGTAACCTAAGCAGAAACGTTTCCTGGCTCCAAGTCATTGTCCATTGGCTTCTTGTATCTAGAAAAGCAGCAGCTGAGAAAGCCGAGCCAGCTGATTGACTTAGCGAATAAGGGTATTTTCAGATGAAATGATAGTCCTTTCAGAGGCATGAAGAAGCTGGATCTTCCGAAAAGGGATGTAACTTCTTTTCTGTCCATGAAGGGAAACCCTGGGTGGTGGAGGTAGGAGAGAGGCCTGGAAGGAGCCTGGGCTCCGAAACCAGCTGGACCCCCCAGTTCAACTACTGACCCCCTCACTTATTCTCTAGATGGTCATGGGCTAGTTATAGTCCAATAGTCTCTGTTTCTCCTCTGTAGATTAGGAATCAATCTAATCTCCTTATTCCTAAATATGCATTCTATTTATTTTCATGTCTCCAGTAGCTGTTGCAGAGTAGGAACTTAATAAAAAATTTTAATGTACTTGGCAGTGGATTATGAGCTTCACTTACATTATTTAATTTAATTCTTGCAAAAATAAAAAATAAAACCTTGAGATAGATGTTTGCCGATTGAATTCATGAATCAGTCATCTGGTAAATCATTATCCATTTGTATCTCTTTCCTGAAGTAGAGACTCTTAGATGAAGGGACATTAATTCTGTAAAACTCAGGTCTGGAAGAAGCGGGTTTTGAGGTGGTGAGAAGGAATGAGCTTCACCTGGACCAGGGGAAGAGACCAGCATTTGGAAAAGAATGTGGGCTGCTGCAGAGACCATAAGCAGGAGTGTGGGGCCAGAAGTAGGACTGACCACAGTGACCAGTACAAAGGCATAAGTGGCCAGAAGTAAGGTCTGGACTTCCTGCACATTGGACTGTATGTCCCTGACTGTGGGTCCCCATCACCTTATTACCTACCATACTTTTTCCCTTCAGACCAATCCCAGAGATACTCTTGTGATGGAGTCTTCAGAACTAGTATATGTGGGGAGGGGTGTCCTGAAGCCACAGCCTGGAGCCACACTGAGCTCCCAGGGCCACAAGGTGGGAGACTTGGTGTTCCCCAGAAGATGTGTGATTGTGTGGAACGTGGTCTGTGTAGTGGGTAAAGATGATTTCACCTCTGAGCCAAATCTGGAGGAGATGATCCCTCTCCTTCTGTGTCTTGCTCTTTACTATTTTTTCTGTGTGCAGAAAGTTTGTAGAAGGAGCACATTATTTTTACTAAACTATTTTTTTTCTCTATTTGAACACTAGTGTATAGAGTAGAAAATTTGGAAAATATAGAAGAGAAATTAGAGAAAAAAATAATGCACAATACTGTCAGCTATAGCTAACCTCTGTTGACAGATCAGTGAAACTTCTTTCCATCAAAGATCTTAGTTCACAAAGACTGAAATCAGAATATATCATCAAGTGGGTGCAGTGGCGCATGCCTGTAATCCTAGCAGCTCCGGAAGCTGAGGCAGGAGGATCGCAAATTCAAAGCTGGCCTCAGCAACTTAGTGAGACCCTAAGCAACTTTGCAAGACCCTGTCTCTAAATAAAATATTTTTTAAAAGGGCTGGGGATGGGTTCAGTGGCTAAATGTCCCTGGGTTCAATCCCTGCTACAAAAAAAAAATATATATATATATATATAATATATATATATATATATATATATATATATATCTCATGAAATTTACCTTTTGGTTTTTTTTCACTCAGCAATATATCATGAACACATTCTCATGCCATTAGATAATTCTTTAAATGACTTTTTGGTTGCCCTCTAACATGAAGTCATATCAGTGTACTACCATTAATCTTTTAGTAATTTGGAGACTTTAGGACATTCCAGTTTTTCGTTATTTTAAGTAATGCTGGGTTAAACACTCAGCAGAGCACAAAAATGCTCATCTGTCTTTCTTTAGGAGAGAGACCCAGAAGGGAAAATTACAAGTCAAAAGTTGTAAACATTTAACAGATAAGCAGGTGATAGAGACAGACATAGATGATAGGTAGGTAGGTATGTAGATAAATCAAATTGTTCCAATTTACACTTCCACTGGCCATTTGAAAAGGGCTTATTTAATTCTCCCACATTCCCATTTAGGTATTCTTGTTTTTAATGTTTGTTAATTTTACAAAACACAAAAAGAACTTTTTATTTGAATTTAAAACAATTTTAAAAACAAATGACTTACCTGCCATATACAAGAGTCCTATTTAGAAAAAAAGAACATGCAGGAGGCACCCTCACCCACTTCCTCTAGCTGGGGCTGAAGGCTCAGGGTCTCACCTCCTGTACCCCTGCAGGGCTCAAAAGGGGACGGGAGGCATGCCTGGACCATGAAGCATTTTAAGAAGCCAACCTACTGCAACTTCTGCCACATCATGCTGATGGGGGTGCGGAAGCAAGGCCTCTGCTGCATTTGTGAGTAAACTTCCCCTAAACCTCTTCCCCACTTCGCTGTGCTGCTCTGTGCATGGTTGGTCTGGCCATTCTAGGGAAAATCGAGGTCTCTCTGCTTCTGAGCTTGAGGGACCACTCTTCTTGTTCCAGCAGCAGGGTTAAAGAAGGCCTCTATGTGCTATCTTAGCATCAAATGGACAAGACCTGTAGTAGGGTTGGAGTCAATGGGCCACTGATCCCCTAGAAAAAATAAGTTCATATGTAATTCAAAAGCATCTCATACTGATTTTCATTGGGTAAATGTTTATGTTTATGTTCAAAGGAACCTGTTTTGTTTTGCTTAGCTTTGAATTAGTGAAACAATGCATTCTAGATTCTGTAAAAACAATCAGAATTAAAGCGAGACATTTGTTTCACTTGACAACCCATTTAGTAAAGAAAAAACCCCAAGTGATAGAAAAAGGGGAATGAGAGACTGGAAAGATGAACAGGAGAACCAGGTGAATAAGAAGGAGAAAGAAAGGGTGACAGGGAAGAAGGGGACATGGGGAGCAGGGAGAAAGGGGCTCCCACAAGAAGTCTTTGAAGGGGTCACACAGCCCTGCCAACCACCTCGAGACAGGGACATCAATAGTAGCTGAAATCTACCAAAGGCTGTGAGGAGCTGGATGAGGCGGTGCACCCCTGTAATTCCAGCAGTTCAGGAGGCTGAGGCAGGAGGATCGCAAGTTCAACGCCAGCCTCAGCAACTTAGTGAGGCCCTCAGCAACCTAGCAAAACCCTGTCTCAAACTAAAAACTGTCTTAAAGGGTCTAGGGAAGTTTCTTAGTGGTTAAGCACCCCTGGGTTCAATCCCTGGAACCAAAAAGAAAAAAAAGACTGAGTAAGGAAGTCCCTTCATGTGGTCCAGATCCTCTAATCTGCACATGTGACCTCAGCAAAAGGTCATCTTAGTGGAGTTGGGCCTGCTGTCCATCAAGATCAGGCCTCAGCAAACTTAAAGAAGGTGTCCAGTGACCTTTTGCCCCATTCAAATCCCCCTTCTTGGCACTTTGCATTGACCAGTTCTCATTCCTCTTAAGTTCCAGGCCTGTGGACCTCTTCCATTTGCATAATAGTAGAAACAACAGTGGTAATTTGGAATAGCTATTCTGACCCAGGCACATGGTGCCTCACGTAAATTATATCATTTAATGCTGCCAAAATCCCTACAAAGAAAAAGACTATTTATGCCCATTTTGCAGAAAACCCTCAATTTCAGAGAGATAAAACAATTTACCCAATATTACGTGGACTTACAAATGGCAGAGTCAGAGATGAAGCCTGGCCTGCCTTCCCAGAGACCCCTGGTCTTTCTGTCCACTCCCCAACTTCCCTGACATGCCATGATATGACATGGGCATAGTAAGCAGGATGATATTTCACTCTCCCCTTTCTGGGGACATTTCCCTGCTGCATTCGCTGCTCACAGAGGAAGGGAGTGTGCCCAGGTGGAGACACAGGAGCAGAACTGGAAGATGACTGGGGACTCTGCTCAAGGAACAGTAGGAGGCTGTTGAATGTCCATTAGATGAGGCCAGCTCCACATGTCCCCAGCCCTTCACAGGAGGAGATCCAGCAGGAGATACAGGCCTTGGCTGGGAGGTTGGGGGATGGCTCTTCCTTAGATAGTCACTCAAATATCTTTCTTATTATTTTTTTTCTTTGTAGATTGTAAATACACTGTCCATGAGCGCTGTGTATCCAAAAACATTCCTGGGTGTGTCAAAACATGCTCAAAAGCCAAAAGGAGCGGTGAGGTTGGTGACACCTGGTGCCTTGTTCTACTGCATGCTGCATCTGGGGCAACATGTCCATCACACAGAGTCCTGGGCAGGAGGGGCTTTGGGAGCTTTCTCCCATCCCTTCTGTGCTTTGAGGATCACCCTTAAATCATCCTATTCATCCATCAATCCATTCAGCATCTCTCTGGGGCCCACCACTTGCCTGGCACTGTGCTAGTGGGCACGCAGATTATAAGAGGAAGTCCCCAGACTGCTCAAGCACTGCCCAGTGTACAGGGCATGTCAGACATGTCAGACATGACAGACATGTCAGCAAGTGCACAGCAGTGAGGTGTGCCATCATAATAAGGCTCTGTGGAACATACGATTGAGGCACGGATGAGGAGCCAGGGAAAGTTTCACAAAGGAGGTGGCATTTGAGTTGTGCCCTAAAGCTATTATCAGGAGGACTTCAAGAGGTATTGAAGAGTAAAAGCAGTCCAGGCAGAAAGAGTGTGTAAAGGCCCAGGACATGACTTATTCTGGGATCTGTACTTAGTTTGGTGGGGCTAGAACAGAGGGTGCTTAAAGGGAAGTGACAGGAGATATTATTCAGAAAGAGACTCCACCTGGAAGTGGTCTTGTAAGGTCAGCTCAGGAATTGGAAAGGAGTTTTCTGTGCAGCCACAGGGTCCTCAAAGAGCTTCAATCAAGGAGTGATTGAATTTGCAAGTCAGGTAAATTGTTCTGAGCATGGTGTAAGAAAGAAATCACAGCGGGGGAAATTCTTGGATAATTAAAGCAAAAGGCAAGTGTTGCATTGAGGGCCCCTCTGGGTGGGGTCTGCATGCTGAGGCCATGTCTGTGCTGACATCCCTGGGGCCATGCAGATCATTGAGTATTGACTGTTCCATTGACTAAGGAGGAGAGACCGAGTGAGAGGTAATTTGGAGGTAACTAGGACTTGGTGATGTGATGAGAGAATGAAAGAGAGGAAGAGGTAGGGCTCCCAGGTTTCTTTCTTGGCCATTGAGTGGTGCCATTTGCTGAATCTGGAAATTGAGTGTCCTTAAAATTAAGGGCAGGGCACTCTGCATTGCTGCAAAAGGAAGATTCCATTGAGGAAGCTGAGTTGGGAGATGTTTAGCAGGTGGGAGTGGTACCCACCCCTCCCACGGAAGTACTCCTGAGAGAGAAGGGCACCTCCGGGGAATCCTCTGCATGCCTCATGGACACCGCATGGCCTCTTGTCTACTCCCTCCACACCACCCCATGTACACCCCTTTCCATGCCCATGCTTTCCACCAGGGCACTTGGCGTGCCTCCTGAGCTCAGGCCCTGTGCCTGCACTCTGGCTGCCTGCCACTCAGAATAGAGTGAGGTCACTGAGAGGCCAACAGGGCACATTCACAATTTTCTGAGCCTGCAGGGACACCCCGAGTCCCTCACCATCTCTTCAGATCCCAGAGAGGCTGGAGAAGGCAATGTGGCACTGGGGAGACGACCCTGGACTTGGAGTCAGAGACCTGGCTGTGGGTCCCTGGTTAGCCACTTACCAGCCTTGGAACCTAGGGCCAGTCACTTAACCTCCCTGAAGCCTTGCCTTTTTCTCTCTGCAAAATAGAAATAACAATGATCTGAGAGCAAATTCAATGTGATCATATAGATGACACATCCATTAACCAACCTAGCTCTATCAACAATCAATATGGCAGAAGGTGAGAAGCTACAAACTGAGTGTGACACAACTTTTGGAACTGTGATCTTTACCAAAAACATTCCAGAGTGGGAGCCATCAAGCAATTTAATTGCTAAGCAATTTAAAACATTTATTCTTATTTAATACAAACATGGGATAGTCTTGTACATTTTCATGTATTTTTAATACTGTGCTTGAATTTGGGCACTCAATGCTGCACCCCTACCTTCCCCCAAGGTTCACATCCTCTTCCTTCTGCAGCTCAGGGTAGCTTGGTGGAAATCTGAGAAGTCCTGTGGCATTGCAAGCAGAGCCAGCTGGTAATTCTGGCTCTTGGATGGAGGTCAGGGGCCATTACTTTAGCAGTACTTATACATGCACATTCACCTACAGACATTCTCTCCTGCTTCCCAAGCTGCTAACCTCCCCTGGTTACACTTCCTGGGCAGGAAGCAGATTACAGCTAGCTCTCCAGGAACCGGTATGAAACTAGGACCCTCACTAGTTTCCTTGGACTTTTTGTCTAAGCTTCATCTAGAGTTCATTTCAACCGTGGCCGCACGTTATGACCACTCAGAACACTTTATAACATATTAATGATAAGAGACTAATTCATTCAGAATGTGGGGTGGGCACTATGACTTCTAGAAAATTCCTAAATTGTTCTGATGAGCAGCTCAGACTGAGCAGTGGGGAGTGAGTTAGTTATCCAACAGTGGGCACCTTCAAAAGATGGGGACTGTTGTAGGGAGGCCCTTCTGAGTGTGTTTTCTTATTGTATCCTCCCAACAACCTGAGGAGTGGGACGTATCATACCAATTTGTACAGATGAAGGACCTAAGACTCAGAAAGGTCTAGGAACTGGTCAACAATCACCCTGCTGTGAAGTTCAAAATCAGTGACTCCAACCAGTTTTGTCTGCAGCCCAGGCCCTCCCATGTTCCCTGCTCCGTGCTGCCTTCCAGAAAAGGGTCCATGCAAGCACATCACTCTGCGAGGAATTCTGCAAGACAGACAGATGGACTTCCAGATGAGATGCTGCTCACTCTGGCTGCTTGCCAGGGCAAATGAGCAATTCAAAACTCAGACGCAGTGATTTTTCATCTACTGTGATTAGCACAATGGTGGTCAGGCAGAGAGGGAGCCAGCATCCTATGAACATCTAAATAGGAAAGAGCCTTCCCTTCTCCTGGACTCCTCCCACACCCTCCTGCAGCCCCGGTCCAGGGTCATGGTTCTGCTGCCTTCCCTGGTATCCTTCGCTTCCCTCCCACAGGTGATGCAGCACGCGTGGGTGGAAGGGAACTCCTCCGTCAAGTGTGACCGGTGCCACAAAAGTATCAAGTGCTACCAGAGTGTCACCGCGCGGCACTGCGTGTGGTGCCGGATGACGGTGGGTTGGTGCCCAGGTGGCCCTGCTTCTTTTCCGTGTGATTTTTTTGCTCAAGCTGCAGCCTGGGAGCAGTGAACATCCCGCCAGAGAACAACCAGAGTTAGGCTAATAAGGCTAGGAAGGCCCCAGAGCCTCTGTTTCATGCCCTCAGTCTAATGGTACTCCCATCAATTACCAAGCTGCCTAGAGAGAGGGGACACCCCCAGAATCACTGGAGTAAGGGCTGCTTAAGAAGCTGTCCAGCCCATTGCCTGCATGCCCAGGCAGCTGGGAACAATAGGCTAGACCACGCACTTCCCTCACCTATGTGAGGCTAGGGCACTGCCAGAGTGGGAGAGGAATTAGCCACTAGAGTGCCTGCCCCTTGAGGCACCAGAGGAAGGGGCACCTTCCCCTCAGACACTTTCCTTACAGCAGCCTCACTGCCTGGTCCAGGGGCCTCTGCCTGCCGCCACCAACCACAGCATAAGATAGAGTCCACAGCCCCTCTGGAGCCCCTCTAGCAGCCACTGAGCTGCCCAACCTGCCTGCCACATCCAACTCAGAGCCATATCTTGTCCCCTGACCAGGTTTCAACCTCCAAGAGGAGGTGTCTCCAAACCAGACTGCAGAACTCAGAATGCAGAGGTTGAGTTGCAGGGTTTACTTACAAGTTTGCTCACTGAGATCTCCCTTCCAGAGTCTTTAAGCCTGGGGAGCAGAAATCCAAGGAGGGCTCTAGAATCAACAGGGAGAGCAGGGCATAGGCCCGCTCGTGACCATTTTGCTCCAGTAGCCATTGAGGCTCTTGGTCTCCTCTCTCTGCCCATGGCAGACCTGGCACCCCTCAACACACCTATATACACGCTCTCAGCAATCCTTCCAGAGCCAGCCGTGCTCACGGTTCAGGGGGCATTAGACAGCTTGCCTCCCAGCAAACCTCTGCACCCTCCGAGCCGCTGGTTCCTCGATCACCTTCACTCATTCTCACTCTTCTCTCCCTTTTGTCCTCCAGTTTCACCGCAAATGTGAATTATCGACGTTGTGTGATGGTGGGGAGCTCAGAGACCATATTTTGCTGCCCACCTCGATATGTCCTGTCACCAGGGTAAGTCCTCCTGCCCAGCCAGAGCTCTGCTTCTCTGAGTTCGTGGTTCAGATGTAGGCAGCACTCAGACCTTCCCGCCCCCCAGAGAGCTTCCCCAGCCACTCTTAGGGTTTGTGTTTTCAGTGTGCATTTGAAAGGGTCAGGGATGTGCCAGCCAAATTGTGAGAGAAAAATCCTCAGATGCAACTGGTCCCAACTGCTGGGTCCAGATGGACCATGGAGGAAGCACGTTCACCCTACGCACCTTGTGGGCAGAGTACAGCTAAAGCAGGGTGAGGTCTCTCTCCTCCTTTACCCCTACGGAACCTCTCTACTATGTCCAAACATGGATCACCCCTACCTTGATGCCTTTCACTGGAGTGTGTTAACACTCCAGAGAAAAGAAAGAAAGAAGCAAAATTAAACTCCTTTAATACTCACCTGAAACATTTTTGGTCTCCTGTATTGAAGACTCCTCTCTCTTTTCTTTCTTTTTCTTTTTTTTTTTTTTTTTTTTTTTTTTGGTACTGGGGATTGAACCCAGGAGCATTCTATCACTGAGCTACATCCCTAGCCCTTTTTATTTTTTATTTCCCATAGGCATATGGTATTCATGTAATGGAATACCACATTGCAGTGGGAAAGAACTTGTGATCCTCCTGCCCCAGCCCTACTGAGTTGCTGGGATTACAGGAGTGCACACCACCAGGCCAACAAGATTCCTCTTTCAAACAAGCACCAATTTAACTCCTCTTCTCATCTTAAAATTGTTGCCACATTCCACAGATTCCTCACTTCTTGCCCTTGACTTAACCAGTTTTGTTTTTTTTTTTTCACTAAAAATCTACAAATTTTCCTTTTGAACACCATTTGGCAGTATCAAACATACAAACTCCATAACCCAACAATTCCCCTTCTGTGGATCTTTCTGAGAAGTACAAGCATTTACTCCATGTGTGTAAGACATGTATGAGAATGTTTGTGGCAACTTTATTCATAGCAGTAAAAACTGGAAGAAATCTAAATGACAATTAACAGGAGGATAGACAAATAATTTGAGACCCATAGGCATATGGTATTCATGTAATGGAATACCACATTGCAGTGGGAAAGAACAAATTGTGCTCCCATGCAAAAACAGTATTTTAAAGAAATAATGCTGAATTAAAGAACTTGACTCAAAAAAACAAAGGCACTCTCTCTGATTCCCTCTCTATAAAATCCAAAAGCCAATCAAAACCAGTGTGATCTTGGAGTCACACAGGGCTATGCTTGGAGGGGCGGCATTTCTAAGGGCTCATACATATGCAAAAATTCATCAAACTGTCCAATTTCAAATTGAGCATTTTGCTGTAAGCTAAGTAAACCTCAATAAAATAATAAATACTGAAAATACAAAACCAAGAACCACAACCGAATGCTGTATCATTAGATAATGCTAAGCAGAGAAGCTTAGTGTGAGACCTTGCTTTTTATAGTCCAAGCTTCTCCATCAACAAATTAGATTTCTGCCAATTTTAGTAACGTCTCCTCCTGTGTCCCTTGCCTGTGTCTCAAGGTTAAAGTCAGATCAAGTATTGACAGGGTCCTGGAGAGTCCCAGAGAAACTCATAGGTTTGCGTTCCTTTCTTGAAATCCAAAGTCCCACATTGAAAAACTACTCACACTGACCTGGTTTTGCTGATACTAGTCATTTGTTGTTGGGTTTTTTATTTTGTTTTTATGTACCAGGGATTGAACCCAGGGGTGCACAACCACTGAGTCACAGCCCCAGTGCTTTATTTATTTATTTATTTGTATTTTATTTATAGACAGGGTCTTGTTGAGTTGCATAGGGCCTCACTAAGTTGCTGAGGCTGGCTTTGAACTTGCCATCCTCTACCTCAGCCTCCAGAGCTGATAGCCATTTGTTTTCACCAGATCTCTTCCCTTATATTAGGTTTTTATTTTTCTTTCAATAGATGCTTGTCTTTCCTCTCTCCTCACAGGACAGACAAGGTGGAAAGTCTGATGGCAGTATGGCAGCCAAGGGCGAGCTTGTAATGCAGGTATCTCATGGATTGCAGTCCAGTTGCTTATTCCAAGTGGGTCCAAGACAGTGGCCGGGAGGCCGGGGTTTGGGTTCTAAGGAAATGTACTCAACATTTGCTTTCTCATCTGATCAATTCTGTCACGCAGGAGGACACTTTATTCCGGGCCTCTGGAGTTACCTTTGACCGCCACACTGTAGGCAAGTGGTGAGAAGGGAGGTTGGCTGATCCCATCGCTGGTCTAATTGGCTTGATCACCTCTATAGGAGCAAATTACATAAGCCTTCAGTATGCAGACCTCCTAAACCATAACAAAAGTGTGGCCTAGAAGTAGACAATAGATTTTTCCAAGATTGCCAATCTGTCTCCAGAACACAACTGTCAAAACGTAGTTCGCCAAATCCAAAAGTTCTTAATCCTTCAATGTAAGTTTAAGAATTCGTTTTTACTCAGGCTCACCAGTGAACACCTTTTCTTTCTGCCTTCCACAAAAGGAATGCAAGCAAGGCATCCTGAAGAGGTACAAAGAACCAGAAAAGGAAATAGGAAAGTTAGGGCCTCCTCTTCCACCCTCGACCTAAGTCTCCTTGTTTGAAAAGGGTCATGGAAATCCTTGCATTCCTCACCTCCTGGAGGTGCTGCGAGATTAAATGAGAGTGTGCAGATTTGTTTGTTTTAAAAATTAAGCTGAAACAATGGAGGAACCTTAATAGATGAGAAAGCTCTAGACACCCAGAAGGGCAGCAAGTCAAGTGGAACACACACACACACACACACACACACACAAGCATGCAGGTATAACAGTTGTTAGATATGGATTCTTCTGCTTGTCCTGCATCAGTTCTGATCGGGCAGGACCCTTGCTGTATGGATTGCTGAATACTTTTAACACTTCCGGAAGTTAAGGGCTTATTCCTCAGGCTCCAAGATGATTCTGGGTGTCACAAGTCCCTTGAGCAGTTAAGAGAATTCTTAAAAATCACAAACAGTGCTACTGTTCTCTTCAAACCACATGGCACGCTGTGTTTGCTGGCTTTTTTAGTTTAAGATCTGAGATAGCAGGCATTAGATGTTGAACATGGAGCAGAGCTGCCTCTGTGTCAGAATGTCATTCAGCTGAATCCACAAGTGCTTATTGATCGCCTGCTGCTGTGTCTGGTGCCAGGGGCCCTTGGGAAGAGGGTTATACACACACCCTGCCCTGCTCCTGAAGCATTGAAAATCCAGTTAATAATGCCTTGAGACATTTACCTAAGACAGTAAAAGACAAATACAAATAAACAACAAAAGAAACTCCAAAAGATATGACATGTTTTAAATGTAAAAGCTTCAGTTGCCATGATTGAGGGGAATTTCATAGAGGAGATGGCTCTGAAGTTGGGTCCTAAGGATGAAAAGTCGTTTGGATTTTTTTTTTTTTTTTAAGAAGTCACAAAGAAGGAAATGAGCATTTCAGGGTAGAGAACAGGAGGAGAATGGTGATCAGATGCATGGGAGAGAATTTAGGAGACACTCCCTGAAGGGTGCAAGCAGGGTTGGGCTGGAACTGCAGCTGGGGTTAGAAGAAATGAGACCACAGCAGTGGAATGGGGTGAGATCCAGAAGGCCTTGATGCCAGGTTCAGAGATACAGATGTTATCCCCTGGGCAGTGAGGTGTCACTAAAGGTGTTTGACCAGGAGTGGTGTGCCTGACATGGTGTTCTGGGAAGCGGGCAACATATAGGACTTCCCTGGGATGGAAAACACCCAAGCAGCATGGGTTCTGTGACAGCTGCTAGAGATGAAAGGACATTCCAGGGGAAGACTTGGCAGATTAGGATCTTCCCTGAAACACTGGATGAATAACAGTACCTTTATCAGGAGCACAGAACCAGGAGAAGATCAGTTTGATGGGAAAAGAAGATAAGTCAGGTTGGGGCATGTTGACCTGGTAGTGATGGGAAACGTCCACTTGAAGGCGGCTCCGGGGATTCAGAAATGCAGGACAAGCTCAAGAGGAAAATTGGGTCTGGAAATGCGAATCTAGAAGGTGCCAGAGTGGAAGTGATTTTTTTTTCACTCCATGAGTGTTATTTTATTTATGTGTGTGACCAGATGGCCACACGTTCTAGGATTGCATTCAGTTGTGTCCCTCACAGAATTTAATCTTGTGATGTGGGCACAATGCCACACCGTTGTTGAATGACTTGAAGCTACAGTGCCATTGCCCATCTCTGATCCCAATCTCAAACCCTCATTGCCATTAGCACCACTGAAAGGCCACTTGAGCTGGAAACACGTAGCCGCTTGGCCCCTCAGAAAACTCAGCCAGTGGACAAAGACCTGCCTCCCCGATCACCTGTCCTCCATGCCTGGGCCTGCTTCCTATCCACCTTTCCGAAGCTGTCTAAGCATCAAGCTCTCGTCTCCCCAGCCCTGCTCTCTGGAAAAGCAGACCTAATTTCTTTTTCTCTTGCTTTTTAAGTATAAGATCATCCCCACCCCGGGCACCCACCCACTGCTGGTCTTGGTGAATCCCAAGAGTGGAGGGAGACAAGGAGAAAGGTATGTTCTCTTCTCTTTCAAAGTGGAATGGCTAAGACAAGCCCCTTCCTCCCCTTGACCACAGCAGAGTGGAGACCCAGGCTCAAATCCCAGCACCACCACTGGGCCTTCATCTCCTGGCCCCCGGGCCTTAGGAAGATAACAATATCTCCTCTCCTAGGTTATTTTAAGAATTAGGATAGCCCAGTGCTTAACGCAGCGTCTATCTCATGAGCCACTGCAGAGTTCAGACTGAATCCTGAGAAGCCTCTTCCCTCCGAGTCTCACATGTCTTTTCTTGGTTAAAGAGACGGCAGGACTCACCTGACCTGTTCTCATCCCTGAGAATGCAAAGCACCCACCTCAGGAGTGAAGAAAATGCCCCCTTGTCTGGAAACTGGGGATTGCTAAGCAGAGTGGGAAAAGAGAGCCACTTCTGCCTTGGAGGCTGTTCAGTTCCAGGGTGATGAGCAGATGACAGTGATCTGGAATCCATGTTATGAAATAAGAATAAGTAGAGCTAAACAAGAACTATGAGGACCCCCGTTCTGGTCCAAGGGACCTAATTAGTCTCCAACTAGAGCCCTGAGATCAGGCCCAGATGTGGTCGCTCCCCTTCAGGTGTCCAAGCCCAGCTCCTCCTGAATTTGCTCCTGATTGGGGGCTGTAGGGGCCTTTCTCTAGGGGGTCCTTTGATACCTCCAGACATCACACTGCCCCAGCCACACAGAACATTTGGGAGAAAGTCTTCTTGAGGAAGAAATTCTGGGTTTCTCTGCTCTGTTCTCTGCAAAGAAGGGGTGAGGCTCCTGGGGTGGGAGTTGGAATCTTAGATGTAGGGGCAGCCTTGGACCAAGGGGTGAGGATGTGGTGATGCCAGATAGACCTGGGATATACTAGGTCTGCAGGCACTCTTCTCCCATCTCACATTTAAAAGGATGCTCAATCTGACTACTGATTTCTTTTTCTTTTGCCTTTTAAGTGTAAGATCATCCCCACCCCAGCCACCCACCCACTGCTGGTCTTGGTGAATCCCAAGAGTGGAGGAAGACAAGGAGAAAGGGGGTCACCCTAATGTGACTTTTTGCAATGACATTTTCCTCCCCTACCCTCTAAATTTTTTTTTCTCTCTCTTTTTCTCCCCCATAGAATTCTTCGGAAATTCCACTACCTGCTCAACCCCAAACAAGTTTTCAACCTGGACAATGGGGGACCTACTCCAGGGTATGGAGACAATATCTTTATTTCTCATCCCTCTCTTCTAACCTCTGCAGAAGATACCTTCTTTTGTCACCTTTTTAATGTGTTTCATCCCTGAAAAGACCATGGATGCCTTTTATCTTTCTCACATCACACTCTTCTGGATGTGTTCAGAATCACCCCTTATGGCTAACTCTGAGAAGTGGCTTCCTACCTTGTCCCCAAAATAAAGGAGTTGGTCTATAAGATGGGGAAATTGCATATACCATTCCTGTGATTGCTAGGAAGGCGAATGGTGAAATATTTTAACTTGATAGTAAAGCTGTGCTAGCGGGCGTCTTCTTAGTCAACCCCAGGTAGGAGAAAGTGTTCTTATCACTAGCATTTTGGAAATCTATGTGGCTACTCAGAGGTCCACCCTCTGTTCCACTATGGGGGCATTTGAGGATCAAGACACTTGGTTATACAATGAAATCATTGTTTTTCTGGATGATCCATTTTTGAGGTGGTTACACTCCCTGTGGCCCTTCTCCTGCTACTCCTCTTGCTGTTTGTTTCCCTGCTCTTTAGCAGAAGGTTGGAGAAAAGGAAGTGCTTTATATTTTGACTGGAGTTCTGATAGGAGGAGCTGGGCCCTGTGCCGCAGCTATCATGAGGAATTTCCAGACCCTGTAATTGGAGGGCTCCCCAGCGTGGCGCCAGAAGGCACGGAAAGACTGGGCTCTTCCCAGTCAGAATCGGTGCTCTAGCGCCACCTCCTGGCCAGTCTCCGCCTCGAGCTGTGCACAACTAGCTGGGTTTTCCCTCATCTTAACCTGCAGTTCTAACTCTGAATTCCAGGAGACCCCTCAAAGGGGCTGGCTGGAGAAAAGACCAAAAAATAGAATCCGCCCCTGTCTTTGATTGTCTGACACAAAGCTGTTATTTATACCACTGGCAGGACAAAATCAGGTTAAAATTAGAAATGTGCGAGCAGATTCAGTACTCCTACCATAATTTAACTATAAAACTAATTTGAAAGCAGAATCCATCTAGACTGCTGAGGTTTCTGCCTTGGTTGCCATGATTGCCCATTTTTGTTGGATAGCTGCAGCCCACAAGTGCCTTCACCAGCCCACCCTCCTCTTGGGTATTTCAATACTGGAATGCAGTCCTCTGGCTTAACCTTTTTGATATGTTTTACCATGGGTAACAGGTCAGGGCCTACTCCCAGTGCTGGTGGGTCCCGAGTGTCTCTGATGAGTGTATCCATCTGTAATCAGACAGGCCATCTGGCTGAAGGGAGCCTCCATTCAGAATTCACTTCTTGTAGGAAAGCAGAGTTCTGCAAGAGAGATGGAAAAGAAGAAATATTAATTTGCCTTCACAGGCATCCATGACTCAGAGAGCCCCAGGGGTCTTCTCAGACCACCAGGCTGGGCAGAGAAGAAGTATAACCTTAGATTCTGAGTCTCACCCAAGGTGTTCACAGGTTACTTCTGTTCTAAAACAGGATTTCTTAACCATGTTATGCCAGACACCCCTTTGCCAGTCTAGTAAAGACTATGGATCCCTCCTTGGAATATTATTTCCTAATACACAAAATGAAATAATACAAGATTACTGGAGAAGATAATTATGTTGAAAAATATGTACCGATACACTAAAAAATAAATTGGTGATATGGGTCTACAAATGCATTATCAACACATTATATAGAACATCCATAGCCAGGTCAAATAACTATTGCAAATTCAAAGCAGCAATGAACATACATGATAGGTTGAGATATGCCACACTGTAAAAATATCTTTGATTTTGATTGCTGCCAAAGTCATAGGTATTGTTAATAAATCTGTGGTTTGTTGCCTACAGTCATAATTTAAAGAAATACTAAATTTCAGTGAGAGGTTAGGGAAGACATGAATGTAATATATTCTTCTTCAAGTTAATGACCTTCTGAATTCTATCCATAGACCCTCCTTGGAGATTGATGGATCCCTGGTTGAGAAGTCTGCTCTAAATTAGAGTTAAAACTTCTGGGAAAAATGGGGTGATTTCTCCAATTAGCTCTGGACCCATAAAATTGCAAAATGAATTCAGCCAATTCAGGGCATCTCCCTTAAAGGGGAGGTTGCAAGGACATAACAAGCAGGAGAATTCAAAAGGAGTCAAAATATTGGGGGTCATTTGTATTGTGCAAACTGTAGGTTTCTCTACCCAAATCACAGAGAATTTCTAGAAAACTGCTTTCTATTTATGTTGAATGTTGAGTCAGATTCTCCTTATACAAGGATAGCTCTCTGGGATTTTTCTACATACTCAGTGGCAATGCATAATAATTTCTAGTTTCAGAACATTAAGTGACCCTTTCAACTCCAAAAAAGAATCGAGATCTTAACATACTCCCGGGGAATAGAGAGACTCTAACTCAAAAATTCAAGCCTAGTGACAAGACTAACATTGACTTTCCTCTGTTTCCCAGCTTGAACTTCTTCCGTGATACTCCAGACTTCCGTGTTCTGGCCTGTGGAGGAGATGGGACAGTTGGCTGGATCTTGGATTGCATTGGTAAGAATGGGTTGGAGGGGCCTTTGCTGGTTATTTATAGTGAGTATATTTAAAGTTAGCAGAAGGCAGCTGGGCGTGGTGGCACACGTGTAATCCCAGTGGCTGGGGAGACTGAGGCAGGAGGATCCCGAGTTCAAGGCCAATCTCAGCAACAGTGAGGCCCTAGGCAACTCAGTGAGACCCTGTCTCTAATTAAAATACAAAATAGGGCTGAGGATGTGGCTCAGTGGTTGAGTGCCCTGGAGTCTAATCCCAGGTACCCAAAATAAGTAAATAAATAAAATTAGCAGAAGGCAATAACAAGAAGAGAGAAATGTAGCCACACTTTGTTCATCCTTATATCTACCCTTGAACTGATGCTTAACTAAATATCTACTTTGGATTAAAAAAAAAAGAAATTAAAATAATGAGAGTTCTTCCAAAGACATGAAGATAACAGTTCAGTTTCAGGCCATTCCTCAAAAACATGACATGGCCAGGGTTGAGGAGTATCACAGGTCAGATTTTGAGGGGAAGGAAGAGGGGGATTGGGACTCAAGGCAGATGCCTGCTGGACAGTAGAAACCAGAGCACTAAGCATAGCTGCATACCCAGGGGAAATCATCAGGAGATGAACATCTGGAGCCTGGGTCCAGAAAGCACATCTGGACCCAGATGTGGCTCCATGCAAGCAAAGAAAGGTCACACTGGGCTGTGACCAAAGGGGCATTGGAGAGGCCCAGGCTGAGAATCTGGAGGCCAGGGTTGTGGCTCAGCCACGCCTGGATCAGTGGAGACAGCACCCCCAAGAAGTGATGAAAACTGGCTGTGAAATTCTGCAATGGGGCATAGCCAAGATCTGAGCCCAAAGGACCCAGAGAAACACTGCAATGTGGAACATAAGGACAGGAAAGCCACCAGAGGAAGTGCTGGGGAGCACAGTCGTCAGAGTCAGGGAGTCCCAGAGCCAGGAGCCCTGGCCTGCTTCAGATTTCCCATCAGTCCTTCCACAGATGCCTCCTGCATGCCTCTATGTGCCAGGCCCTCCTGGAGGATGTGGAAGTGCCACCTGAATAAACAGGTGAGCATCCTGCCCTGCTGGAGCCCACCTTCCAGAGGCCAGAACCAGGCAACACAGAAATATGTGAAATACAGAGAATATCAGAAGATGAGAAAAATATAGCCAGGAAGGAGCAAAGGAAGCACACAGGTTAGGTGGAATTACAATCTAAAACTGAGGGGTCAGGGAAGACCTCGTAGAGGAGAACTTGTTTGTAGGGACACCTGGAGAAGGGTGAGCCTCACAGATGCCTTTGGAAAGAGCAATCCAGGTATAAGGAACGGCAGGTGTAAAGGCCCTGAGGTAGGAGCAGGCTGAGCTCTTGAAGGCAAACCAGAGCAGAGGACATACAGAGAGCATTACAGAATGTGACTCAGAAGTCATGAGGGACCAGGTCACGAGGACACATAGGACATAACACTGGAACATGGCTTTTATACTGGGGGAATCCCAGGACATCAGGTAGTTTTGAGTAAAGGAGGAACAAGCAGGAAGACTACTTAGGACAGTACTGCAGTGACCCAAGTGAGATGTGACCAGAACTGGCCACAGTGGAAAGAGGAGACGGTGAGAAGTGACCAGAGTCTTTGGAAGGTAGAAGCAACAGGATTTGCGGGCAGACTGGATGTGAGGGAATGAAGGAATCAAGGATGGCCAGGACCAGGTGCTGAGCTGTGCAGGGGCACAGAGGCTCCAGGAGTTGTCACAGGCCTCCCAGGGAGGGTGCCAGGGCACACCTGCCTCCTGCTGCTCCCCCACCAGCGCAGTGGTTTCCATGGACACAGCCCTGCTGAGCAGCCACCCACGCTCTGCTGTCACCTCGGGCTCTGGAGTTGTTTGTGGGAGGAGGGAGGAGTTCTCTGGGGGCCCAGGAAGAACGGTTGATATGAAAAAGGCAGGCGGCTGTGGTACTGGGCTACCTGCAAGGTCCCCTCTCTGACATGAGGGAGGAAAACAGGCTTTGGGGAAAAGTTGCAGAAGATTTATCTGCAGAGAACACAGGTGCCAGAAGCTGTTCGGAATAAGGAATGAAAGATCATGTGAGACGGGGAAAAAAAGTGTTAGGTTATTTTCCACAGATGAGAAGACCAAAGAGAAAAATCAGAGGCAAAGGGATTCATTGCTTAAGGTGCTCCCTCCTTCCCTGGACACGCGTTCAGGCATCCTTCAGTGGTCTCCACTGTCCCCCATGGTCCCCTCTCTGGTCTATTCCCACCTTCAGCCAGGGAGTGGATTTTTCCTGAATGCCAGTGGATTCAGGACATCGTGGAATCCATCAGCACCTTCCCTCTATCCTCAGGATGAAGACAAAACCCTTCAGGTGACCTGCAGGGCCCTGGGTGGCCCAGCCTCCACCCACCCTTCCAGCCTCCTGCAACTTGTCTGTCCCTCCCCCTTGGGACTCCAGCCACCCAGCCCTTCTCTCAGACCTCTGGACATGCCAGTCCCCCTCCCCACACAGGCCATTGCCTGGAATGCTCCCCAGCCTCTGCCCATGGACTTCTGCCTCAGATCTTAGTCTCCCCTGACACCCCGCCAGCCTCAGTCGCCTCATTACAGAATGGAGCATCTGTCCTTTCTGATATGAATGTGAAATTGTGCTTTCTGTGCGTGAGGACCACACCAGCACCAGGGCTTCTCTGCCATCAGAGCCACAGCGCCTCACCCAGCATGTGGCGTGTAGTAGGCCTCCATAAACTTGTGGAGAAGCCGCTGCCAGTGAGACATATTCCCCTGGGGGCGGGGCTGCCGTCCATCCAGAGGACCAATGAGTGGACGACTGCCAGAGAGTGTGATGAGGTCATCCCTGAGGCTAAGGAAACAGCCTGGGGTGGCACCAGGTCCAGACCAAGGGAACCAGGGAGGGCCTCCCGGAGGTGGCTTCCAAGCTGAGCCACAGAGAGCTCTGTGATTTGTTTCAGGATGGTTGACCAGTGGAGTGGGCGGTCAGGCATGCAGAAAGACGAGACTAGGAAGAAGGCAGAGCTGGGGCCTGGTGCCATAGAAGGAAAGCTGAGGTGATGGGGCCGGAGCCCGAGGGTTGTCTGCCTCAACAGAAATATGGAGAAGACACTAGGAGGTAGAACTGGAGGCAGAAGGAACAGGGAGGAGGCTGTTGCAGCAGGATCAGTGGGAAGGGATCATCCCTGCACCCAGGCATTACCGTGGGGACGGAGAGAAGAGATCGCTGAGAGTCTGTTTCGCATCACTGACAAAATATCTGAGAAAAACAGATTAGAGGAGGAAAGATTTATTTTGGCTCACAGTTTCCAAGGTCTCAGGCCGTGGTGGGTGGGCTCTGTTGCTCTGGCCTGAGGCGAGGCAGAACATCATGGCGGAAGCTGTGGCAGAAGAAAGCAGCTCAGCTCCTGGCGACTGGGAAGCAGAGACAGAGAGAGACGAAGAGGCTGGGACAAGAAATACTCAGGAGGCTGAGGCAGGAGGATCGCAAGTTCAAAGCCAGCCCCAGCAACTTAGTGAGGCCCTAAGCAACTTAGCAAGACCCTGTCTCTAAATAAAATATTTTTTAAAAGGCTGGGAATGTGGCTAAGTGGTTAAGCATCCCTGGGTTCAATCCCTGGTAGAAAAAAAAAGAGGGTGGGGGGAGAGGAAATACCCTTCCAGGCCACGCCCCCAGTGATCTACTTCTTCCCACCAGGCCCCACCTCCCAAAGCTTCATGTCATCAGCCAGGAATTCATCAACTGATGAGTGCAGAGCCCCCATGATCCAGTCACTTCCCAGGAGCCCCACCTCTGAACACTGCTGGGCTGAGGAACAGACCTTTAACACCTGAGTCTTTGGGGAACATTCCAGATCCAAACCACAGCAGATGACATGGGTTTCCAGGCTCAGTGCCATGAAGATGGCAGATCTGCCAAGATGGGGACTCCAGAAGAAGGGGCAGAGGAGGAAACAAGAGCCTTCCAGGCAAAGGGGACAGCATGAGCAGAGGCAGGAAGGCATCAGCTTGAGTCGCAGGACCAGGATCCATGAGTGAATGGCCCCATCTTCCATCTCAACACTGGCAGCAGGCAGCCCCAGCAGTCACATGACTTACATCCAAGGGCACTGTGACACAGGGTCTGTCAGTGTGCCCCTCTGGAGTCCAGTGGGCGCCTACATCTCCCTCTTTAACCAGCCTTGCCTGTGAACAGGCTGCTGGGGCTCCGTAGCCAGAGGAAAACATGTTCTGCTCTGCATTCTCTGATGGTTCTGTTCAGTGTTCATTCACAACCAGCAAGGGAGAAAAGAGTAGGAATCTGTGTGTTCCAAATTCTGAAAAGTGGTGGAAATGATAAATTATAGGTATGGGGTGTCCGTAGCACCTGGAGATTTTGCTTGTTTAACACAAGGGGTTTTTTTGTTTTTTGTTTTTTTTTTCTCTGAGGGTTGGGTGGTGCTAAGGATTGAACTCAGCCACTGAGCCACATCCCCAGACCTGTTTTGTATTTTATTTAGAGACAGGGTCTCACTGAGCTGCTTAACACCTCACTTTTGCTGAGGCTGGCTTTGAACTCATGATCCTCCTGCCTTAGTCTCCTGAGCCACTGGGATTACAGGCATGTGTCACCGTGCCCAACTAATACAAGATTATTTTTTAAACTTTTAAATTTTTTTTAAAAATGCCCCAAATTTTCAGTTTTCCAAATGTCCCCACTATCCCTTAATGTTTTAGACCCACCCATTTTAATAACATCTGCACCTGCAAAGCCCCTGAAAAGTGGAGGAAGGGACACTGGGAAGGGACAAATGAGAATGGACTTGGAGCCACAAAGATCTGGGATTGGATTCTGGCTCCAGAATTATTTTCCCTTGGTGAATTTTCATTTCTTCATCTTCAAAGAGAACATCTTGCAGGGTTGGTGTCAGAGATGAATGGGAACAAGTGCTGGTTATCATTAGGATTGAAAAAATGCAAACTAGGCTGAGGCAGGAGGATTGCAAGTTCAACTCAGCAAGACTGTGTCTCAAAACAATAAAAATAAAAAGGGCTGGGCGTGTAGCTCAGTGGTAAAGCACCCCTCGGTTCAATCATTGGAACCAAGAAACAAACAAAAATACAAACCAATGTTTTTGAGGGGCATACTGTTATCTCAAAGAACAGAATTAAGATGAAATTTGGACCAACAGGTACAGGTTACAGGGAAACAGCTTTAGCTCAACATGAATTGCACATTGACAGATGTGGCACAATTTGTAGTGGTTAACACTGCAGAAGGAAGAAATAGCTTTACGAAGTAGTGTGTTCTCCATCATGGGAGGTGTCAAGCAGATTGCTGCGGAAGGGTTCGTGCATCAGATCAAGGATAGCAAAATAACCCAAGAATTCTGTAATCCAGTGGTATATGGTTCTCTGTTTCTTTGCATGGATTGCAGATAAGGCAAATTTTGCAAAGCATCCACCAGTGGCTGTCCTGCCTCTTGGAACAGGAAATGACCTTGCCCGATGTCTCCGTTGGGGAGGAGGTGAGTATATGATGCTACCCTGGGGACAGAGCTCTGCTTACAGGGATGCTCTACAGAGGCGATCTGTGACCCTTTCTCTGCCTTCTGTTCCCTGCTGGGTTTCAAATAGAAGCCCCTCTTCTGGGCTCTGAGAACCCTGTGCTCACCTCCCTATAATTACTATCATCCTGAAGCCTTCAGCTTAGAGCCAATAGAACATATGCAACTTTAGGGTAAAGACCAAATCTCATTTGTCCCTTCCTAGTGCCCCTTCCAATAGGAGTTCACGTAGACAAGTGTTTTCTATGTGAAATTCCCTGTCCCCCAAACAATGATCTTCTGAATTAGGACTCAGAATGCAGACAAAAATACTTCATCCCTAGTTAGAGTCATTAGGAACATTCAGATTATCCCAGGTGCCCAGGACTGTGGGATCTCATTTTGAAATTTCCCTAAAGGGGGTCACACAGTGGTAATCGGTTTACAGTGCAAAGAGCAGGCACTAAGGTGAATTTTACATATGGCCACAGCCCCCATGGAACTGGGAAAGCTGCAGAGGAAGTTCAGCTTACCGCAGAGTGGACAGATCGGTCCAGCAGGCAGAAGAGCTGCAGGGACTCCGGATGGCTTATCAATTCAAGGAGTGATTGTAGACCAGTCAGGATGTATCAGGATTCAGAGACTGGTTCTTTCTTGGTGGGCAAGTCAGAGGAAGCAGGAGCCCGCCCTACAGGCCAGGTTAACATTCTGCCTACCACCCTGTCCATCTCCCACATGACACAGTCCTGGCATGGATCCGTTATCTCCCCCACACAGCTTCCCAACCATCCAGCCCACCAATTCAATAGGGCTCCCTTCAGCTCCACAGACCCACCCACCTTTAGCCAGCACCCACCCCCACCTCGGACTTTCAAATCACTCCAGCCTCTTCCTAATTACTCTATTGTCCTTCCCTTCTCTGTGGTTCAAGGACCACAAGTGTCTCCCCCACACAGACACACTGGGAAGTTACCTGGTCCCAGATGCCCATAGGGTCACCTGTCCTGACAGCTACCTGTGCATCAGCAACAACTTAGCCTTTCTGCTCTGGTGGCAAATGCAATGCCATCATCCACAGGTTATGAAGGGGGCAGTTTGACAAAAATCCTGAAGGACATCGAGCAAAGCCCCTTGGTGATGCTGGACCGTTGGTATCTGGAAGTCATCCCCAGAGAGGAGGTGGAGAACGGGGACCAGGTTCCATACAGCATCATGAACAACTATTTTTCCATTGGCGTGGTGAGTTGTTCAGGGGTCACCTTTCTGCATAGTAGAAAAATGCCCAAGAAGGGCTCCAGTTTTCCACTATCCCCTCTGGGTCTGTCCTGCCCTGCCTCAGTCCTGACTTGTGTCTGAGCATCCTGAAATCTGGTATAAATGTGGACACCCTCGTGACACAGCCCTTCCATCCCTTGATTATGGGGGAAATTGTTTTCTCTATTATGTTAACTAACACACAGTGAAAGGTTAGAAATTTTTCAAAAGACATATTTACCCTTTAGGTAATTTGAAGCAGTTCAAGAAAACCAACACTGAGAAATATCCAAGGGGCAGGAATAGGAGAAAACATTCACATAGGCTTCAGGAATTGGGAATTCTGATCCTCAAGGGAGGACCCTGGGGTCCCACCTGGCTTGGTGGGCTTAGCACTCAGGATTTCTTCCTCTCCTCAGTACAGTGCTCCAAGTGCTTCATAAACCTCTGTGGGGAGGCATTTCCTCCTGACTGACCACTCCCTGGTTCTCATGGTCCTTGATGCTCACCCTGTCAGCACACTCTGCATTGACTGAAAGACCTAGCTTGATGTGCCTGACTCACTAATGCAAGAGCACATGCCCTCCTGAACACACACACACACACAAACACACACACATAGCACAAGGACAGCACCATGTTCCCTGGCATCCCAAGCCCTCAGGACAGCTAGTTGTAGCTCAGTCACCTTATTTGCTAAACTCAGCTTCAAAGAACATTGAGTGGGCACTGCTTTCTACACTGCCGGGGACGGGATGGGCGGGGAAGGGACAGTGAAAGGATGGCTCATGTTCACAAATACAGCCGAGGTTTGGGAGAGGAGTTACAGCCAGGACACTAACATTTATTGAGCATCTACTATAGGCTTTCCACATTGCTAGGCTTAATGGGGTCTAGTCCTCACAGCAGTGCTGCAGATACCCTTGTTCCCATCATCCCCATTTTACGGAAGAGCCTTCAGGATTCTTGACTCATAAGAGGCAGAACTAGAACACAAACAGCTGTACTCACCCTGAGCCCAAGGTCCTTCCTCTCTGTTTCCCCATCTTTGGAATTATGCTACCAGGTTTTATGTGCATACAAATCCCTTCACCCAGTCCTCTGGCCCCAGGCTGAGTGGCATCTGCACTCCACAAACTCTTTTGAAAAATTTGGTGGTTAAAAAATATAATAGTGAGGAAACACAAAGGAACTGATGGGTAGCTTGAGGGGACAGCAGGTTGAAGGGAAGTGTTTTATTTTTTACTAAGAAGACAAAAGGTGAAGCACAGGAGAGGAAAGGATTACATATAATAATATCTTCTACTCACAGAAGGATTTAAAGTTTACTATATATTCAGTTACTTTTTATTCTTATGACTACTTTGAAGGGAATTATCATCTCTGTTTTATGAATGAGGGGAACAGAGACTTGGATTTAGGGACTCACCTTAACTTTTTTCACATTTTTAATCATACACGATAGTTGTACATAATGATGGGATTGTTGTTACGTATTCATACCTGCATTCAATATAACAATATGATCTGGTCAATATCACACCCCAGCACTTCCCACCTCCCACCCCCTGGTCCCTTTCCACTACTGATCTCCTTTCGATTTTCGTGAGATTCCCACACACACTTTTTCCTTTTTTGTATTTGTTCTTTTTAGTTATACATGGCAATAGGGATGTATTTTGACATATCACACATACATGGAGTATAACTTCCCATTCTTGTGATTGTACATGATGTGGAGTTTCCCTGGTCGAGTATTCATATATGAACATAGGAAAGTTATGTCTGATTCATTCTACTGTCTTTCCCATTCCCATCTCCCCTCCCTTCCCCCATTACCCCCTGTCCAATTTGGTGAGCCTCCAATACTTCTCCCACCATTGTGAGTCAGAATCCCTATATCAGAGAAAACATTCAGCCTTTGGTTGGGGGGATTGTCTTGTTTCCCTTAGCATGATAGTCTCCAGTTCCATCCATTTACTGGCAAATGCCATAATTTCATTCTTCTTTATGGCTGAGTAATATTCCATTGTGTATATGTTCCACCCGTCTTAATTTTTGATTCTTAATTCAGAGCTCTTTTTCTATGACCAAAACAGAAGACAGAAGCATTGCTGAGCCCATTATCAGGTTCTGAGAGGCTGGAGATAATGGACTAGGAACAAGTTTAGAGGTTCCTGTGCCCCAAGCTAGTTTATCCCCCAGGCCTCCAGCCTCAGGTGGGAGGGACATCTTCCCCTAGTGTCCCCTTCCTGGTCCCCCATCCAGTGACCAGTGCAGACACCCTCCCTCCTCTTCTTGCTCTAAGAACCCTCCCCTTTTCAGACCTACTACCCTGGATCCACTTCCCCCGACTGGAGCACTGCCATCTTCAGCTCCCAACAGTCAGATGTGACCGGTGTCTGGTGTCCAGAGGGCTCCTGGAACATGGACTCCCAATCATTAGTTTTGCCAAACCTTGGGTCTTCCCAACAGAAACCAGAGTATAGCTTGTTAACATTTATTGAGTAACCTATTAAGCACACCAGGTCCAGTTTCCATGTTGGTACATGAAGTCATCATGCAATTTTTACTGTGTTTTATAAGAGAGAGTGATGGCTTAGAGAGCTGTAGAAGGAGTCCAAGCCCTTGGGTGGTGGAGCCTGGAACCATCAGCATTGAGCTCCGGGGCCCGCTGAGCTGTGGCCTCTGCACAGCCCCTTCCATATTCTTGTTGCCAACACCGTGTGTGTATTTGGTGGTTTGGGGGGATGTGCCTCAAAATGGCTTACAGGGCCCCTTATCAGAAATGCAGATTCTGCTCACAACAGATTCTGATTCATATTCTGATTCAGGAAGTCTGGGAATTTGCTTGCGAGCGTGCGTGTGCGCGTGCGTGCATGTTTTGCTGGGAATGGAACCCAGGGCCTCACACATGCTTAGGCGAGTGCTCTGCCACTGAGCTACATCCCCAGCCCTTTTTATTTTCACATAGGATCGGCCCTGAACTTGCATCCTCCTAGCTGGGATTGCAAGGCATGTGCTAGTGGGAAATCGCATTTTTAACAAGCTTCTAAGATCATTCTGATGCAGATGATCCTGACCAGGGCTTCAGAGAGGGAAGACAGCCCATCAGAACAGAAAAGAATGATCAAAGGGAAGTGGTTCTTCAGGACACAGAAATCAGAACTGAATTAAACCAAGGAGAGGGAATCTAGAAAGCAGGAAGAGTTAGCCCATATAAGCAATGAGCAGGGAGGCTGGGTGGGCTGCCTGGAAGATTCCAGATGGAAAGGTACAGTCATGGCTGCCTTCAGATTCTTCAGCCCCAAATCTTCCCACACATTCAGCTCTAGCTGACAAAAACATGATTCCCAGCATCTCCTTGTCTGTCTCTGTCGATCTAGTGGCTGCATAAAGTGGACTTCTTTTAGTATTTTTCCCCAAATAAATGGATACACAAAAAGGAATAGACAACCTTCTCTAAACTAAATAGCTGGACCCTAAAGCCAAGAGCCAAGCCTGATCAGTAATCATTCATGAAATTACAAATTACAATTCATTCTTGAAAATATAAATGGAAGGAAGGATGAGCCAGCTAATCATCCTCCAAGAAAACATAGAAACATTCTCCATCATCCTCAAAGGTCAAAATATTTTTCTGTCCTGGGATGACTGATAATAATCCAATGTGTTCATTTTTCAAATTACGAAGACCCACACAATTTCTTCCTCATGATTTTTTTTTTCTTATACATTGAGTTTGTGCATGTATTGCACAGGAGTGAGGGACTAGAAATTCCTATCTCATTTTGGTGCACCCTTAGCCTTCTCTCAACAAAACGTTTGCATCATTTGTGTGCTCGCTCTTTAAAAGTTGGAAAGAGGAAATCTTGAGAAAACAAGTAACCAACACACAATCCTGACAGAGTCTGGGGCTGACATTTGCAGAAGGTCTTGCTCCCTATTTGACTTCCCCAACTTCGTAAGAGGAGAAGTAGGTATGTAAACCAACCCAGTTTTACCTCCTGATGATGATTAAATAGAGTCGAACTCCTTTGGCAAAGAGATTTCTGCAAGGTCTGTGCCTCTTCTGAAGGACATGGAATAGTTTATTGATACCAAGTGGCTGCTGCCTTGCATCATAAAGATGATGACAGTCACCATTGCTATGGTACCCTGGGTGCTGTAGATGGGAATTTGCCCTGATGAGTTCACACAGTCCCTTTGGTACTTACAGGACCTATTTAATAGATGGAGGATTAAATAAGACTCCAGGGAATGACTGTGGCCTCATTGCCACCACATTTCCATTCACAGGCCAGCTATAAGAACCTAAGATAATTGGCCTTATTGGTCCTTCTTACTGAGAATATCCACTGGCAAGAGATTTTTAGCATAGCCATATCCAAGACACCACTTCCTCTGGCTTCCTCCTCCCTCCTATCTATTTTTGGATTAGGCAGAAATGTCAGAATAGCCAGGTATCAGTGACAGGAAGTTTGGAACTACAAAATAATTCCTGGAGAATGCGTAACTCTGAACTCCTCACAGGCTCTGCTTTCACTGAGCCTTAACTGTATGGGTGAACAGCTAATCCCTTGATTCAATGAATCTATTTCAGATGCTAGGGGAGTCTAGGGGCCAAGGAAAAACCACAGTCGTCACACCAACCCATGTGCCATGTTCCACCTTACAGATTGTTTTAGAGTTCACCAACCAAGTTTTCCACAATGACGAGCCTCCTGCCCATTAGGGAATTTGTGAACAAGACATCAGTTGCCTGCAAACTTTTGGAATCAATCAGCTTCAGATGGTTTTGTTTGTTTGTTTGTTTCTTTGTTTTTGTTTGTTTAGTACTGGAGTTAGCCCAAGGGTCCTTAACCACTGAGCCACATCCCCAGCCCCTTTTACTTTTTATTTTGAGACAGGGTCTGACTAAGTTGCTTAGAGTCTTGCTAAATGGCTAAGGCTGGACTCGAACTTGCAACCCTCCTGTCTCAGCCTCCTGAGTCACTGAGATTACAGGCATGAGCCATCATGCCTGGCTCAGCATCAGGTTTTTATCTGTTGCCAGGAAAGGTACTAAGTCGATGGAAATCACTGAGGAGTGACAAGGGGTCTACACTTTTCCATTCCTCAATCTGCCATAAGTTTTGAGAACAATCTGAATTTCAAATAACCTGTCCTGTTGTCTCTTTCTGTCTTCTTATCTCCCTAAATTGCCAGAGTGACTTGGCCCTGCCTTGTCCAATATGGCAGCTGTGAGCCACATGTCACTATTGTGCACTTGAAATGAGGCTTGTCTAAATTGAGATGTGCTGTAAGTGTAAAATACACACCACATTTCAGAAATGTGCTATGAAGAAAATAACTTAAAATATCCCTGGGGCTGGGGATATAGCTCAGTTGGTAAAGTGCTTGCCTCACATGCATAAGGCCCTGGGTTCCATCCCCAGCACCTTAAAAAAATAAATAAAATAATAATAATAATTTTTAATATTGATTATACATTGAAATGATAATATTTGAGAACTATTAGGTTAATTAAAATGTTACTAAAATTAATTTTACCTTTATGTTGGTATGTGAAAATATTTTCAAAATTTTAATTTCATCTGCTTCTTTTTTACTTTTTTATGTAACTACAAGAAAATCTTAAGTTACATATATGGCATACACTAAATATCTACTAGACAGCACTGGCCTAGATGTTCCAATATCTCAAAGTCCAAATAACAGCTGCTTACATTGAAAGGGGCCCAAAATTGTTGGTCCAACCATGTGCTTAAGAGTTTTACTTGAGGAAAAAATAGCCCCGCGTCCACACCTTTCTTGGTCTCCTCTTCACCCCATGCTGCATCCAAAAAGACTCCGGATAGTGAGGCCATCAGAACTGCATCATGGCTCCCATGAGTTTGCAATTCCCAGTACTTGGCGTCATCACGGAAGTGTCATTTTACTGTAATCATCACCAAGAAAAGATTTGGTGTAGCCTTGATTTCCAAAATCCAAATGAAATCATTATTGATTGTCAATATGCCAAGATCAGCCCTTGACTCAGAGATGCTCAGGAGAGCAAAAGTGAATCTTGACTCTTCTTTTTCATCTCCAGATAGAGAAACATGGTCAGGATCCTGATGATCCATCACCTTTTCAGGACTTGAGAGCAAAGGAGCCACTTAGCTCTCCCTAGCTACTTTATTTGTCAAGGAATGACACTGGCAAATTAGGAACTACATGCTAAACTAATAATATTTTAAAGGCTAGTCTTTGCAAATTCTTGTTATGGAAAAAACAAGGACAATGAGAACTATACAAAGGGAGGGGCCTGTGCAAATATCCCAGAGAAGTACGAACCAGGAGCTAGTCGCAGCTGTACTGGAGGGAGAGATAGTGAAGTACAAACTGTGCCAAGCAATATACGATTGCTTTTTTCTTTCTTTTCTTTTTTTTAATTTTTCTGACAGAGGAAAATTAGTGCTTCAAAGGAACACAAGTAGATGGAATGTTTTCTTGAAATCTAGAGAAGCACTTGACAATGTCACATGAACCTTATTGAGCATGTTCACTGAAACTTGCTCCGAGCTAGGGAGGTGATGGGAGCCTGGGAGCATGAAATGCTGTTGCCCAAAGAAGCCACTCGGGCCAAGCTGTGTGGGTCCAGGGGGTGGGAAGGAGGCCTCCTTGGGGTTTGCACACTTCTCACCACTTGCACAGAGGGACCTCACCCAGACTTTAACTCTTGATGTGTCTTAAGCTAAAAATAAAATCAGTATGTAAAGTTTAATTGTTAAACTCCCAAGACATTATTTCAGCAAGGAATGTTTGCCATACATAAAGTTAGCTCTTTTTTTTTTTCTTTTGTACTGGTGGTGTTTAACCAGTGAGCCTTATTCCCTATTTTATTTTTCCTGAAAAAAATATCTTTTATCTAGAGGCAGGGTCTCAACTGAGTTGTTTTTGGACCTCGCTAAGTTGCTGAGGCTAGCTTTAAACTTGCAACCCTCCTGTCTCAGCCTCCAGAGCCGATGGAATTATAGGCATGTGCCGCTGCCCAGCAAACTCATCTTCTTGATGTGCTCTCTCCATTTATCAGACAGTGGCTGCTGGCTGGGGTCACTCTGATTCCAAGTGCAACTCACCACACACAGTACATGCTCAAAAACGCTTCTTCACTGAACTATACCTCCTGACATTTTTTTTTTGTTTGTTGTTGTTGTTGTTTTTTAATCAACATTTACAAATGATCTTTTGTAGAGTTTTCTTATAGAGAAATGGAATATGCATTAGCTAAAAATCTGCTGGATAGAATTTCAGGCATTTTTTAGCCACATATTCCAGCAAATCGGTTTCTGAAGTTTTTGTTATTGTTGTTCCTGAACAAATCTGAATCAGCTCCCTTGTTTCTGGGTCACCCCATCTCCAGCCCAATTAGCCTGCTTGTTTCTGAAGCCCAGCACCTGCACCCAGTGTGCTGGCATGGGGCCTGGGTGGTGGTGGTTGGAGGGGGGGGGGCGCGCGGTACACATTCTTTTGCTAGAAAACAAGACAATTAATGAGGGTGGAAGAACAGGTTTGAAGAGGAAAGTTGAGTCCATTTTTAGGGTTGAAGCTCAGGGCTGGTTCTAGAGCTATTCATTGTGGAGCTACCAGCATCTAGATGCTAGAAACAACCATGAGAAACAACTCATGGGACTACCCACAATGGGAGTGTGGGCTGCACATAAAATTCAGGGCTAAGAAGTTTGGATCAGAGGTTAGAGAGCCTGGAAGCATGGGGTCATGACAGCCATCCTTGTGGGGAGTTCTGAGGTGCCAGTGGCCAAGAGTGCACCAAAGGATATGCCAATAGGGAGTATAAGAAAATGTCAGTAGGATGTGTTTTAAGATTCTCCTTGACCCTGGAAGCAGTCCTTTGGATGGAATGATCAAGAAGCAAAAGCTAGTATGTTTTCTAATTATCTATCAGATAGATTATCCATTGTCATTTATTATTTCTACTAACATGAATGATTAAGAATTAATATATAAGCCAGTCAGTGGCACATGCCTGTAATCCCAGCAGCTCAGGAAGCTGAGGCAGGAGAATTGTGAGTTCAAAGCCAGCTTCAGCAAAAAAAGATGCTAAGGAACTCAGTGAGACCCTCTAAATAAAATACAAAATAGGGCTGGGGATGTGGCTTAGTGGTCAAGTTCAATCCCCAGTACAGGAAAAAAAAAAAAGGAAGAAGAAAAAGAGTTAATACCAACCAACATGAGCTTTCTGGTTTTCGCAATGTACTGTAGTTATGTAAGATGTTTTCCTTGGGGAATGCTGGGTGAAAGGGACATAGGAACTCTGAACTATTTTTGCAACTTCTTGTGAGTCAAAATATTCCAAAATAAAAAGTATTTTACAAAACCATTTAATATGGCAAGGCATACCCAAAGAATCACTCCCAGCCTCCCACATGGGCTACTTCTGTCTACCTGCTCACAGACCCTCATTCTCCTCAAAGAATTGGGCTTTCCCCTTCACTCATCCCTTAACTATCTGCTTCTCACTGGGCCGGGGATGGAGTGCTCACTGCAAGGGCCCTGGAGTGGACCAGGGCACCTCTAAGAGTATTGGCGGCACTAACTGTACCCTTGGACTTGGTGTTGGGCCTCTGGGATCTGGAACCTCCCCTGTGAGATGGAATCTCAGGGTTGGGGGATTCGGTGAAGACATGTGTGCAATCCTTTCCGCCACACAGCACCATTAGAAGCACTAACCAGGGTTCTGCCTTCTCTTTCGCTTTCAGGATGCTTCCATTGCACACAGATTCCACATGATGAGAGAGAAACACCCTGAAAAATTCAACAGCAGGTAAGAGGCTGCAAGCCGGCTGCTCCGCTGCCCCGCCCAGCCGCCCCGCCCAGCCGCCCCGCCCAGCCGCCCCGCCCAGCCGCCCTGCCCAGCCGCCCTGCCCAGTGCGGCCAGCCAGACCCGGGCCTCCCACCTGCTCCTACGGAAATGTTCTTGGCCTGGCCGCCCCGGGACTTCGCTTCCCTGCCACGTTGCCGGAAGGAGGGTTTCCATTTCCAAGAAAAAGAAAAAAAAATGTCAGAAACCTGCCGCAGTCTGGCAGCCTGTCCCTCAGTCCCTCCCAGAGGATCTGTGCAGAGGGAGGGATGTGGGGGTGGAAGGGGTGTGGGGTGCCCGCCTTTGCGGGTAGTGGGGGGAGTCGGTCCTTGGCTAACTGGAGCCCCTGCGGGGGCTTGGCTGCTTCCTCCAAAGGTGCAGCACCCCCACCCCAAATCCTGCCGCGGCCCCGCATTTTTTTTTCTGGAAAGGGTGGAAGGGACTCAACTTCTCCAGGTCCTACATGGGAGGTGGTGGCAGCCCTGGGGTTTGGACCCAGAATGCCAGGAGAGCGTCGCCTCTTCCATCCCCGACAGCAGAGGGCAGCAGCAGAGTGGCACTTGCAAAGGCAATAGACCTGGAGCCCACCAGGCCCCACCTGAGCCTGGGCGCCCTGTGTGCAAGTCTAGATGTTAGATTCAAAAATGAAAGGGAAGAGAAAACCAGGTCTTTTGCAAAGGAAACCAAACCCTTCTTGCATGCCAAGGGAATTTACCAGAACTGAGTTCTGACTGGGCACATAGCTACCCCTGGGATTGTCAAAATTGCCTTTCTCCCTTCTTATTTCTTTCTCTTCTTCTTCTCATTAGCTGACTTCTATTCTTTCTCTTTCCATTTTATTGTAATATTTCAAGATGACCACAGGATCCCACCCCAACCTCAGGCAGGTGGGGAGTAGGGTGGATACTACTTTGGACTTGATCTTTGAACATGAGGGGATTGACATTTATTTACCCCACAGAATTCTCTTCAAAGCAGAGGTTAAAAGGGTCTGAAGACATTCATTTAAAGCCCAGCACCCAGAAAGAGCCGGACATTATTATTATTATTATTACTCTTTGCCCTGACCTCACAGCCTGGGGCGGGGGGGGGGGGGGGGGGGGCTAACCAAGAAAAAGCAAGCCTTTTTAAGGATCAGAAACTAAACATAATGAAGCTACTTCCTCCTCTGGAAGAGCGATCTGTGGGATCTAATCACAGCTGAAGTAACTTTATTAGGATGTGTATTCTGTCACAGCCTATTCCTTCTCACTCCTAACACTCACAGATCCTACACACTCACTCCACACTGCTAAACGTCCGTACTTCCAGCCCCTACCACTGTAGTCTCAAACTTGCAATTCTGTTGATTCTCCTCTCAATCTTCTTCACTCCCGAATATCTACACAGTTTTTTTAAATACTCTTCTTCCACCCATTCCACAGGATTCGCACAAGTACCCTGACACATGCTCACACTCATGTGTCTGAACATTCCATCTGCTTGTGAAATCTGTACGTTCTGTTCATTCATTCATTTATCCAACAGTATTTTTTGAAAACATTCTATCTACCAGACACTATTCTAGAGGTATTTTGGATGGACTGGTGCAGGGCACTCTCAGCCCTTTGGGGGAAACAGAATGGAAAGCAGATGTACATCATGGTCTGTTAAGTGATGTGGATAGACGTGACCAATGGCAATACAAAGCAAGAGTGTGGAACTTGACATGGAGGGTTTTCTAATGAGAGAAATGCCCCATCCAAGACACAGAAAACAGTGTTTTCCAGATTGGCAAAAGGAGAAGGGTAACTCTGAGAGAAGGAACCAAATGTAGGAAAAAATACAAAGGAGTGAGGGTGCAGCATGCTTGGGGCAAAGGAAGTCGTTCACTGCAGCTGGTTGTATGGTGTCTTGGCATGGGAAACAAGCAAAATCTCTGTAATTTGTAGAGAACGAGGAAAGAGGGGGAGAGAAATTTCTCCATATTCCAAAAAATCAGTAGGTCAACATATGACATGAACAGAGTAATCATCAGCCATCCACACGATTAAATACAATTAGAAAGATACATCTGTCAGGAAAAAAAAATGTACTGTGCAAAACACAGTATGAACAAAGCTACTGTGATCTGTATAAACTATTTTCTTTCCCACTTCGCAGACTTCTCAGAGGTTAGGTTCATGCCTCACTCTTCACCTGGTTGAAGTCAAGGTGTTGTGGTACAGTCACCATGGGTGACAGACACCTATATTTGCATTTAAAGAAATGATGACATAGGATGTTGCCTCTATTTCACAAGGTCACCAAACTCTTCCTATTAAGAGCTTTGGGTCCATACTGCTTCTTTTCTGCCTGCTTGCCCATGTCCAAAATACCCAGGAGTGCTCAGTTTGTCCACTGAGAGGCAGGCAAGCAGCCATTTTCTCTAGGCTTCCTTATTTAGCATTGGAGATGGTTTTAAATAGGCAGGTGGTTGTTGCCATGGTTACCCCATTACACCAGCAGCTAAACTTAGGAAGGGCCACAAGGGATAGGAAGAAAGCTTGATACCCAGGATTTGGAAATGTAAACGATATTATCAAATAGGCTTCATTTTACTGAGCTGAACTTGGGTTCTCCAAAGAGCAGCCACAGCTTGGCTAGAAACCTTTACCATTACTGCCTGGAACTGGGCCCTCAGGGATAACCTTGAGGTTAAATACAGGGAGTTATGATTGTTTTGTTTCATTTTGTTTGGTTTTGTTTTCAGCAAGGGAGTGTGACTAGTCAGGGCTGGAACTCATCAGGAAAGTTGACTCTTTCCCATCTCCAGTTCATATTCCTGAGCTATTCTAATAAGAATTCTTAACCCAGGGTTCAGGGGCTTTGGGGATTCTCAGAACACCTTGAAATTGAACCTAAGATCTTAGATATATTGTTCTGGAGAGAATCTCCATAACTAACAGAATTTCTTAAAAGGACCTAAAACCTCCAAATGGTGAAAAATCACAGTTCTAAGGCTTCTTTGATTCTTAAGAGGCGTCAAATATGACTCAGCTGTTAGGGTTTCAGGAAATTTTTCCCCCAGTGGTCTCTTTGTATAGGTTGCTGCCAAGAAAGGTGGTGGATTGCATGAAATTGTTTCCCTAATGAAATAGCTTTGTTAATGGAGCAAGAACCAGACTTAAGGAGGTAGCAATACGGGCCATGTGTGATGGTGCTATTTTTGATCCCTTCTACTACCTAGTCTTTGAATTGCTAGGTTCATAGTCTAGCAAAGAAGAAAAAACATTCCTCAAATATTTTTATAAAACTATTTTAACATACAAAAATGTTACAGGAAGAGTATACAGGAAGTCATAGAGTATATAGCACATTTTAACATTTATATCCCAAGCATCATTCACAAGTGGATCATTTTTGAGTGTAGAAACAGTGTTACAAGGGACCCAAAGAATTATTGTCCACTTTTGAACTCCTACAAGATGCCAGGTGGTATATTAGTTTTTTTAAAAAATATATTAAACTATTTAAATCTCAAAACAATTATATAAGGTAAATATTATCATTTTCATGTTACAGATACAGAAACTGAGGCTGGGAAAAACTAAGTTACCTAGCTGAGATCACAGGTTTTTGTTGTTTTTTTTTTTAAGCTGTGAGATTAATTTGATTTCTGACTTATCTTAGTTGAAGACCTTTTGCTGTACCTGCTGTGACCCCCAGATTTCCTTTATCAAATACCTACTATTACCAGATGCTCTGATAGGTACTTTTTTGGGGGGAACTTGAGTTCCAATTCAAGAATACTTAACTACAGAGCTAAATCTCCAACACCTTTTAGTTTTATTTTGAAACAGGGTCTCCCTAAGTTGCTTAGGGCCTCACTAAGTTGCTAAGGCCAGCTTTGCACTCCTGAATTACCGGGATTACAGGTGTGCACCACCACACCCAGCTCTAGTAGGTACTTTATACACAATCCCTCTCAGTACTCATAACTTGCAGGTAAGTGTTATTGTCCCTTTTTTAGAGAGGAAGAAACTGAGGCTAAAGAGAGTGGATTTCTCATGGGCTCATCCAACTATATGAATCGCCTCAATGAGAAAATGCCTGCTGAGTGCAGAAGGAGGAGACCAATTATATCTTGTGTGTAATGAGTCTTCTCCCTATCTCAATGTGCATAGCAGGGAGCAGGCATGGCTATATGATTTTGTGTGACCCAGAACAAAATTGAAATGTGCCTTCCCTTGTTCTATTAAGAATTTAAAGTTGGTGAGCCTTCCAAAGTGTGAGGCATAGATCTCACACTGATGAGTGAAATGAGGGAAAGGAAATAAGAGAAAGAAGGCAAATTTTCCAGGTCTTGACGAGGGGAGAGTTTACAATAGAGGCAAAATAATGGAGAAAAGAGAGTATTTTAACTAGGGGATAAGGAGAGGGATTATCCATCCTTCAAAGGGACAGCAGTTAGTACTAGCAGGACTTCCATGAAGAATGCTATCCAGTCCTTTATGAAGTTTCCAGATTAAGTCTCTGTGAAGGGTTTTGTACATATGAAATCTACACTAAAAACTATCTAATTCCAGTGTCCCTGGCAGTGAGAATCCAGAAAGAGAAGTCTAACTACGGAGGCTTTTTTTATTGTTGGTCAGAAACTCAGAGCACTTGAGGAATGTGTTATTCAAACCTGCTGAGTGTCATCCACTTGAATATGTCCCTCAGCAGTTGAGACTGAAGCAAGATATTTCCTGTCGGGCCTTTCAAAGGGACCACAACCGTGCTTCATTCCTTACCCAAGGCTGACCACCTTTCCCAAAAGCCCTCGAGTAATTAACAGGCTCTGGAGTGTTGGCTTTCTTGGAGCCAGGCCCATGGAGTAGCTGACGAGGGGTTCCCCAGAAGCCCTAATGTAGCTTGAGTCCTTAATAGGTTGCAAATACAACTTGCAAAGAACTAAGCACTTCGTAGATATTTATAGAAGGAGGCAGCAGGGTATAGCCGAA